TATTGTTTTCCAAAACTTCTTTACACAAACTCGTCCTCAACTTTATAGTACAGCAACTACCTATGTCTTCACAGCAAAGTTCTTAATACGCACGCACATTAATATAAAAGTACGCAACTACATAACTTGGAGGGAAATTTGGTTCTTTCTAATCGTTATATCACTAGTTCGAATTTTTACAATAAACTATTCATCCGGCGGTCGCAATAGCCGAGTAGTTAGCATTGCGTACTACCATTAGGAAGGCCCGGGTTCAAACCCCGGTACGACCAACATCCAAAAGATATAGGAAATTTATTTAAATAAAACATTAAGCTAGATTTTCTAATTGCGGCTGCCACTCGACAGTGAATGTCTACCCCTCCGAGTATATTTCTGACAAACAATAAAGGCTCCTCATAAAAAATCATCAGCCGTTCGAAGGCTTTAGGTCCCTCCAATTGTTGAAAACACATCAAGACGCAAATACAACAAATTGTAGGAGAAGCTCATCTGACCATAATAGGCAAGCGGTTAGAACTGCGTACTAAAAGGGTTAGATTCCTCGTTAAGTCATGGTTTGAGCCTTGGTTCGAGTCTTTGTTCGATCGACATCCAAAATTATAGAAAATTAATTTTTTTAATTGGGTTCGCCCGTCAGCAGGGAATGTCAAGCCCTTCGAGTGCATTTCTGATATAAAAATCGAAGGTGGCCGTTCGAAGGTTGGAAAAACATCAGACCCACACCACAAGTTGAAGGATGAGCTCGACTGCGAATTACTTTACTGGTTGCAAAGCGCCAATTACATAATTTAGTTAGCTACCAAAATTATTAAGACAACAGTGTACTACGATATTGTATTATATATCAGCTTCATACTAGTTAAATACCAGTTTTTCTAATTATGTTGAATTTATGCTATGGAGAAATAAAGAAAGGAAAGAATTTCTTACAGCGCAATTGAATTTAAATGTGAATTTTAAATTTATAAGCAACGACCCCAAACCACTTTAGCACGCCACGTTGTGTGAAAAACTAACTATACAACTTTTGCGGAAAGAACCATAAAACCAACGTTATGCCTTTCTCTCGAAAACTGCTAGTGCCAAGCTTCTAGGCCATATAGTAGGATGGGGATGATGACATACTTGTAGAGCTTAGGTTTTTTCGTCGAGAGAAGACTTAATATTTTAAATGCATCTCAGTTATAATCCTGTGTTGGCAAGAGTAATTACTCTGCGTTGAACTTCCAGGCAGGCTTCGTTAACGTTCCAGGTAAGACAAAAGTGAAGTCGAGTCGAGAATAGTCTGGGGTTATTTTAATATTCCAAAAAAAAATTGCATTTTTTGAGATAAATGATCGGGTGGTTATTTTAATGTAAAGGGTAAGGTATGCGATTAATAATGGAAAACAATATTAGCCAAAAGGCCACCACGGCTACACTTACAGAGAATGAAATTTTCCATCACCAAAACACAAACTGGTTACTGTATGCCCTCAAAAGCTCCACTTCAATTTCATCTGGGTGGTCTTGAATCGAGGTTGACTTGATGGTGTAAATCTTATTATTCACGTGGCCTCACAGAAAGAAGTCACGAGGTGTTAAATCACTAGATCTCGGTGGCCAATCACGATCACCTTTTCGGGGGACAACACGGTCCGGAAACTGTTCCTTTAAAAGATCGATGGTTTAGTTGCTTAAGTGGCACGCAGCACGGTCTTAGTGAAAGCAAACATTGTCCAAATCAATACCATCCAATTACAGAAATCATTAATCATTTCTTGATATCAAAATTCATTCGTCGTAACTTTTCCTCCAGCCTCAATTTCGAAAAGGTAAGGTCCAATGACCCCGCTGGATCATAAGCCACGTTGGGAATGGAGGGACTTTCCAACAATAAATCATGGGTTTTCCGTGCTCCAGCTGCGGCAGTTTTACTTATTGACTTAGCCAGCGAGGATTCATCGGTCTATATTATGTTTCGATGAAATTCCAGATAATTTTCATGCATTTCAAGACCCAAATCAGCAAATACACGACTTTGTTGAAGATGTTATAAGTCTTAAGACCTAAGTCTTTATCCAAGATTCGCTGTAATGACGTCTGTGGGAAACCCAGTTCCAAAGAAGGACGAGACATGTACATTCCTTTAATCCAGCAGCAATGTTTTTAGTTGTTCTTGAGCGATGTGCATGTGTTTTATTCGTCATATTACTATCTTCTCCCAACGGCTTCATTTTATACACCAATTATTGCCATCCGACAAGGTGCTTCACGGCGACCGAGAAATATTTTAGTTTCATGAACCGTCTCTTCCAGGATTTCACCATTTTTATAGCGAATATATGTATAATTTCAGTGCCTTGTTGAAGCGTGTATGGTTCCATTTTCATTACTGGTTTTAAGTTGTCAAATGCGAAAAAATTACAGCTCCAAAAGTGAGATCTACACCTCTTATTGGAAAACGCTTTATCAATATCTTATATGAGATTGTCGCATATCTGTTGAACACTGCAGCTCGAATTATTTTCACCAGCATTAAGTTGTAGAAACCACACAATAAAGAGTGTCTGAAACTTCGTTTGGCATCGAACCAGCTCGGAAAGGTCTTTCCCAATTCCGGACGGATACAATTTTGAAGAGAAATAACAAACTGATTTGATTTCAACTACACCAGTACTAGTACTTTTGCTTACTAGTTTAGCTTTTCAATGCGGGTCGTAGACCATATGCGAAAGCCTACTCGCACAGAAAACTACAAAAAACACACACTTGGTGTATACATATGTATATGTATGCAAGTTGTTAAATTGAGCATTTTTGTGGTGTAACTTTCAAAATTCATTAAAAGGATTTATAGCCACGGGCAATTTAGCATTGATTCATGCAAATATGTTTGATATTTTCTAATTGCTTTGGTTTTCGTGAATTTATGGTGTAGAAATATATGTGCGCTGTTGTAATTGTATTGGATTAGTCGTTTTAGAGTGGGGCAACCCAAACAAACTTTTTGAAATTGTGCTGAGATATACGAGTTTAAATATTTTAATTTTGATTAATGAAACCGTTGAGAAATTTCAAAGAGATTTAATGGAGTCATGATTCGAGAGAGATGAAAAAAATCTTTGAAGAATTTTGTAGAACATGAGTTGACTTGAGTTGATGCGGCTGTTGGTCAGCGACCTACGCACTTAGGCCTACCTACCACTGTGAAGCTTCCATCAGCTTTAGCTACGAAATTTTTCATTTTAACTGAAGCTAGCTCAGTGAGATAATCAGAAAAGTGTAGGGCTATCCATTTAATGGTTTCGAAAGTACAGGTCTTTATTTACTGTCAAACCAAACATGTTTTGTTTTGGTTAATTGTTAGATATATATGAAAATGCATGGCTTAACAACCGCATAATGCGCACAAAAATAGTGATGATAACAAAGCCTTTCTAACAAATCACGCTTTAGGCCCCGAAAGGTGTCGATCCCAAGTCTCCTCGCTTATATACAGTGTGTCCCAAAAATAACCCAGCTTAATATTTAAATCGTACAACATACAGCGCCATCTATTGAAAATTTGCAACATTAAAAAGATACATTCATCCTCTTTCAAACGCACCTAACATCATGTAAGTCGGATGACAGATGCGAAAGTGACAGCAATTTCAATAAGACCAAAAGTGTGCTAATGGTTAAAAAATAAAATGGAACAAAGAGCAAATATAAAATTTTGTGTCAAACTTGAAAAAAAAAATATTGAAAAAAGTTTATTGTGATGATTGTATGAGCCGTACGCAAGCTCATACGTGGTTCACACGATTTAAAAATGGTCGTGAGGATTTAAATGACGACCCTAGAGCAGGACGTCCAGAAACTATTGTAGTAATCGTGCTGAACTGGTGAGAAAAGTCCGTGAAATCATAGGTATCGATGCAAATTTTACTAGGAGAATGTTGGCTGAGGAATTGAATACGAGTAAAAACACAATTTGGAGAATTTTAACTGAAGATTTGGGGAAAAGAAAGGTCTGTGCGCGATTTGTTCCACATGAATTAAATGATGACCTAAAACTCGCTCGAATTTTTAATGAAAAAAGGGAATTTTCTCATCGACCATCCTCCGTATTCGCCTGATCTATCACCATGTGACTATTCTTAATTTCCAAAGCTGAAAACCAAGATAAAGGGCGCATAACCGAGGTACTGAAGAACATTTCTATAAATGACATAAAAGAATCTATGCATGCGCTGGTTGATCGTTCCAAACGTTGTGCTGAGTTAAATAGATGCTATTTTGAATAATTAATAACTTTCAAAGATAATATAATGTGTGTTTTATTTTATATCCAAAAAGTTCGGTTACTTTTGGGACACACCGTTATGGAAATTAAAGATTTTGTTTCCGAATCCGATTTTAGGAGAGCTGAAATATGAAGCATTGCTGAGTTGGTTTAGCTTCCGCTTCTTTATTCGCATTCTTTAAGTGAGACAGCTAATATATTTTAGAATCTAGAGCCGTTTTGGTGGCTAAATAACGAGCCGGTTTTCGAATGCTTGGGCAGACTCAAAAGCGCTTTTTTTGAGTTTTCAATCTTACAAAACAATACAGATGCCGCTGGTAGCAGAAAGAATATATGTCCGAAAAACCAAGTTGATCTAGCTACATTATTCAATTATCTTCTATTAGAGATAAAAATATAGTTAAAAGTATAATATTATTTTAACTGTTTTTGTTTTTTTTTCTGAAACTTCAAATGAAATTAACTGTTTTTGTTTTTTTTTTCTGAAACTTCAAATGAAATTTTTTCTTTTACCGCAATAATTTAATCCCTTTCAAAAAAAATTGCTGAAACAATGATTTATTTCGACTTCTAAAGGAGACTACTTACAGCGCCAAGAATTCTTTACATTTTTCAGAAATTTTCTGCACACATTTGTGGCAACATATGTATACACGAGTATGTAGGTTTATGTAAATGCAGCCACATTACTAACAACAACAACTTCTTTTTTTATTTCATATTCCAGGTGATGAGAACTCTCACATACATGCCATTCTCACCAGCGACAATCTACTCGATGGCACCATTGAAACGGTCGGTGAGCACTACTATGTCGAGCCGGCGCAACGCTATTCAAGCGAATTGCCCGCATCGGGTGTGCACAGTATCATTTACAAAGTCAGCGATGTGCGGATGCGCAAGTCCGCAGCAGCAGAGCACTGCGCCAGCGAACGACTGCGACGCGATATGCTGCTGAACGATTTGAAGCGACGGAAAGCGGCCGAGGTCGAAGCGGAAGCGTCAAAGTCGCTGGAGCGGCACAAGCGTTGGCTGCCGGATGAGGTATGTAATTTGGGTGAAAATAAAAAATAATATTAAAAATTAAAATTAAACAAAAAGCAATTACTTTTGTAGTTTTATACAAAAAAAAATGCATGCAACATAAAACATAATCGATGCACTGGACCCCAACACGCATGCACCCATGATGAGGCGTTGCTATTGACATTCATTGATTAATCCTTTTCATGTATTCTATTGTCTACTTCCGTTTATTCCTATATGTTTTTGTTTTTTTGTTTTCTTTTCTTGTTCACCTGCAGTTGACCACATCCACCGATGACCATCAAAATCCACCGTTGCCATTGGACTTGGATGTGCCCTACAACGATGACTTTAGTATCTTTGCGGGTGCGGGCGGCAGTCGTGGTCGTAGTAGAGAGCGAGATCAAGCGGAGAGAGTGAGGAGTCGCGAACGAGAGCGGGAAGAGATTACCACAACGAAAACAGTGAATAATAACAATTATAACAACAATAACTATAATCGGGAGCAGCAAAGAAATAAAAATCTGCAAACAGCTTCGTCGTCGTCGTCGTCGTCGTCGTCAACAACAACAACGTGGCGCAATGCTGCTGCCGTTGATGGAGACACAACTGATAAATACGGTGATTTGTTGCGTAGTGTAAATAGTGCCAATAATTTTAACAACAACAACAATAACTACTACTACAATAGCAACAGCAACAACAACACCAATTTGTATGTTCCGTCCCTCATTGTCGCGAACGCGTCGTCCACAATTGGTGGCATACACAATCGCAATATCATCGTCAACAGTTATAATCCGGGCAATAGTTATAGCAATAGCAACAACAATAATAATAATAATAATTTCAATAACAACAACAACAATAATAATAACTACAATAACAACAATAACAACAATGGCTTTCGCAAAACCTATGCAAAGCACAAGAATATCATTGTTAGCACATACAACAACAAAAATAACAACAACAATAATAATAATAATAATGGCAGCAGCAACAATAGCAACCGTTCATATCCCTATGATTTTATCAGCAATTATAATGATAACAACAACAACAATCGCTTTGACACCAGTAACTTCTTTCCATCGAATTGGTCCACAATGTTCACCAACAATAACAACAACAACAACAACAATGATAATAATCAGCATAATGATCGCCCGAGTCATAAGACCCACGTCGAGATCATCACCAAAAATGGCGCCACCAAGAAACCGAATATCATTGTAAATAATTACAATCCGGATATAATGTTAGTGCCAAATCCACAAAATCCACATTTCAACAGTATGTTGATGACCAACTTGTTGAGCGGTCGTGGTCGTGATACTGCTTACGAATCGGGCACGAAGGATAGTGCGCAATCGTTGTACGATCGTAAGATCACTTGTATGCTCTATTTGCAAGCCGATCATACGTTTTTTCAGAAAATGGGTTCGGATGAGGCGAGCATTGAGGCGATCACACGTCATGTGCAGCGTGCCAATTCGATCTATAAGAACACAGGTGAGTGTGTGGGGAAGTAGAGAATGAGTTAAAGAGGATTTTTTCTAATTTTTAATATTTAAATATCTTCCTGGAAACAGACTTCAACAACGATGGTAAGCCAGATAATATCACATTCATGATCAAGCGCATCAAGGTGCACAATATGAATTCAGTCAGAGATCCGACATATCGTTTTCCGGGCAATTATGGAGTGGAGAAGTTTCTGGAACTATTTTCAGGTAATTTAAAGAAATAAACTAATTTCTATCCGGCCGCGGTAGCCGAGTTCTTAAAATTGCATACTGGCTTTCAGGGATTCCTATCCTGGTGGTGTAGTTTAAATAAAAAGTTAACTTAAATATTCTAGCTGCAGCCCTCCGAGTGTATTTCTGACATGAAACAAAGCTCTTCATAGAAAAACCATCAGCCGTTCAGAGGCGGCTTAGTATAAACTGTAGGTCCCTCCATTTGTTGGAAAAAATCAAGAGGCAAAATCGATAATTGGAGGCGGAGCTCGGCCAAAAGTCGTTTCAACGGTTACAAAAAACCGATTTATATAATTTCCACATAGAATCGATCGATCTTGGTACCTAAATCGTCGATAATATCTGCGCTGACTCCTTGGCCTGATTCATTACCAAATCTATTTTCTTCGTTCTCTTTAATAAAGCCGAAAGCATGTCTTTCGCAGCCACTACTACGAGATCTTGATTGGTAGTGATTATGTACCCGACCACAAGCGATCGCACTTAAGCCATGGAGTAGACTCTCCACCAGATTCAAAAAATTAACCATTTCTGCAGCACCTTGGGTATTGACCAACTTGACTTGAAGTTTTTTCCGAATTCCAACTAAACCCTGCTAAGAATTTAGTACGCATTTTCGTAGGCAGGTATAGTACAGACAGTACACAGTAAAAGTAATTTGACGTCTCAGCTTTAAAGAAAAAACTCAATATTAGCAGTCAAGGAGAGGTCGGTGTTGTTGTTGTTGTTGAATTACACGTTGGCGGTGGGTTTAAGTCAAGGCAGCGATTCGAATTTCTGTAAGATAGGCTAACATAAAATATCCAATCGGCTATTAAGACCATGGGCTCACTTCTGGTGAGCACCTAAATTTGGAAGAAGTTTTTGTCATCAGGGTAGCTTCTTTGCAGCGCAAGCTAAAAACTCACACACTTGGTGGAACTCCGGTCGGACATTGTCCGATGAGAATTCACGTAGTAGGTCTTCTAATTTTCCGGATCGCCAATGTCTTTGCTATTTTGAAGAAGAATTGGAATTAGTTATGTTTTTTCTGATGAACTGTCCTACGTTAGCGATACTGATACTCGGATCGCAAACGTTTACCAAAAGACATTGAAATCAGTCGAATTTGTAGATTTGGAACATACACTAAGCGTATCAATACCAAAAATAACCTTCCTTATCATCCAAAAATCGGAAAAAAAGGTTATTTTTAAAGACGTGTGGTTTTCAGAGAGGCAATACTTTTCTCGAAGTTGTTATTTCTGATACTCTCTTTCTGTTTTGTTTGCCATTTAAAAATGAACAGATCTGCTTCGGTACGTTCGTAATTTTAATACCAATAATGGTTCGGTTCACGCGGCGCACCACGCTGCGTGCAATTTTGGTCGACAGAGTCGGTAATTCGAGCTACCATGGATCAGCTCCTCACCACGGATTCCCAAACACGCTAAACGGTGCTCACCGAAGACGCTATTGCTGCTGTGTAAAAAAGTATCGAAGAAGACCAGAGTGATCATCCGAATGACGCGCAACAATTGGAGCTGTGCCCAACAACGTTATGGAAGATTTTCTCAGAAAGATCTTGGGATGCAAATTTACAAAATCCAACGCGTTCAAGAATTGAAGCCGAACTACCATCAAGCGCCGCGAATGTTGCTAAAGTGGGCTTGGGCATAACAATTAATTTTATGCATTTTTATTCTTTGAAAAATCTCATGACTAAAAGAATACTCTTTAACTATCTGAAATTTTCGTAAACTTAAGTGATTATTTACTCTACCTGGAATCGCCTTGCATAATAATTATTGAATTTTTATTGTATTTTTATTGTTTTTTTCTCATTACAGAGGAAGATTATGATGCCTTTTGTCTGGCCTACATGTTTACCTATCGAGATTTCGAGATGGGCACATTAGGTTTGGCCTGGACTGGTGATTTGAAAAATGCTGGTGGAGTTTGTGAGAAAAATGGAGTAAGTTCAATTGATTTATTACATAGAAAAATGGCATAAAATATTTTAATAAATAATTATCTTAATGCTAAAATTGCTTCCTTGTTTTTTCAAGTATTATTGTAAATTAAAAATGTAATTTATATTTTTCAGCACTATCGCGGCTCTTTGAAGTCACTAAACACAGGCATTGTAACGCTACTAAATTATGGTAAACACGTTCCTCCAGCTGTATCACATGTGACCTTGGCCCATGAAATTGGTCATAATTTTGGTTCACCTGTAAGTTGAATACTCATTTATTTATTATTATTGTAGTTTTATTATTAAATTATTCTGATCACTCCCACGTGAAATGAAACTGTTCAAAATGAGCATATTTCCATTCCAATCGCACATTTGAAAGAGCTATTTGACACTGAGATGAAGATGAAGAGACGAACCTACGGCCGAGCTTCTTCGTCAGTTTGAGGTTTGCGTCTTGGTTTTCCCCCTACAAATGGCTAATGTTGGCGCACTCGCCTGTTAAATCAGCATCCGTTGGTTCGATCCCTACCAAAAGAAGCCTGTAGAGGAGATATGGTGATCTCCGAAACAGCTGTCACTTCTACCATTTCTCTTTGTTGTTTTTGTATAACAAAAAGTATTCAATTTTTACAAACAACCATATCAGAAGGGATTACAGTGTTTTGGCAGCCACGAACGGATGTTAAGTTTTTATGATAATTTTTTATGTAACCCTAGAAATGATTAAAATTCCAAGCCAACAGCGTTTTTAAATGTCGATCTTACTAGGCCCGTCGGCCTCTCGTTCACTGCGGCCGCCAACGATATACAGGCGACCTCTTAAAACTACTGATTGATTAATGAACTAATAATCAATGAACCCAGTCAGTGTCGTTTTCCGTGGGACAAACAATTTTTACGTGCATTAATAATTTGTATGCATTTAATTAACTACTATTCTCCAAAAAAAATATTGCTAATAATTTTTGTATTGTATGTTCTTTTCACTCCACACATTTCCACACACACACATACATTTCTTTTGACTTTCACACACTGCCCAGCACGATCCGGAACAGTGTACACCCGGTGGTGAGGATGGTAATTTCATTATGTTTGCCCGCGCCACATCTGGTGACAAAAAGAACAACAACAAATTCTCACCATGTTCACTGAAATCCATCGAACCCGTACTAAATGCAAAAGCACGTAGCGCCAAAGGCTGTTTTACCGAGCCGCAAGCATCCATTTGTGGCAACGGCGTTGTTGAGGGAGACGAACAATGCGATTGTGGTTGGGAGGAGGATTGCAAGGATACATGTTGCTTCCCGATGTCGCGACATCCACGTATCGATGAAAAGCCATGCACACTGACGCCACGTGCCATGTGTAGTCCATCACAAGGGCCATGTTGTACGGGTGATTGTAAATTGAAATTCGGTGATAAGTGTCGCGATGACAATGGCTGTCGCGATCCGAGCTTCTGCAATGGCCTCGGACCGGAGTGTCCGCCATCGGTGAATAAGCCGAATAAGACAATTTGCAATAAGGAATTCGTTTGTTATATGGGCGAGTGTACGGGCAGTATTTGTTTGGCCTATGGCCTCGAGTCATGTCAATGTATACCGGGACCGACTGATGATAAAATTAAATCGTGCGAATTATGTTGCAAATTGCCTGGAGAAGGAAATGCCTGCCGCAGTTCGTTTGAATGGAATGAGCCACCCTTTGATGTGCCGGATATGTACGCGAAGCCGGGCACGCCATGCAATGATTACAATGGGTGAGTGTTGCTTGGTTTTAACATTAAGCGCTTTTAGCTATGTGTGTTTGTGTTTTTCTCTTATTTCATTTTGCATTTTTGATATTGTTTAATTTTTTTTTTTTGTTTTTGCCAATCTCTTAGTTACTGTGATGTATTCCAAAAATGTCGCGAAGTGGATCCATCTGGCCCGTTGGCTACGCTACGCAAATTGTTGTTGTCGGAGGAGAGCATTGCGACGTTTAAGAAGTGGGTGCAGCTCAATTGGTATACCGTTGTGTTGGCGGCGTTGGGCGTTTTCGTTTTGCTGGTAAGTGAACGGAATCAGAGCGAAAGGTTATGGCGAATATGAATATTTGAATGCATATTTTGTATGAAAAAAAAAACAAATAAATTTAAAGCTGTAAGGAATAATTATTAATATTATTATTTTTATTATTATCATTTATATCCTCATTACTATTAATATTATTTTTCATTATAATATTTTTTTTATTATTATTTATATTATTATTACTATTATTATTATTATTATTATTATTATTATTATTATTATTATTATTATTATTATTATTATTATTATTATTATTATTATTATTATTATTATTATTATTGTTATTTTTATCAATATTATAATTATTTTAATTATTATTATAATTATATTTATGATTATTATTATTATTGTTGTTAGTATTATTATTATTATAATAATTATTATTAATATTAGTTTTATTTTTTTATATTATTATTAAATATGTTAAAATATTTAATGTTTTCAATCTTCAAAGATTATGAAGGTTGCAACAAAAATGCTTAATGATGAATATGAAGAGAAGATTGCTATGCAATCGCGTACGAATAGTAAGTGCCTGAAGCAATCTTTAAGTCTTAGATTAGTAATTATCGCTAGATCGACACTCTTTCTATTTAAAATTAGTCGAAATTTCTTAATTTGTTATAGAAGGCTAAAGTGAATTCACTTGTAATGAGGTAATTTTGAAATAACTGTGTTTTTAAGCTAAAATTAATGAGGGATCGAAGTCGATTTTAATAAGGAGGCTAAGAAAAATAAATTCTTTTTTATAAACCTTTCATCAATCATTTATTCATTTCATCACTTAAAGAGGGAAGAGAAAGATGAGTATATTCCTTCGTTAAAATGAAAGCAGTTCGTTGGTAGAAAATTATCGAGGTATAGCTAATTCTCTGCTATTCAGACGAGCTACTATCGATGTATATGGTCTCAAGTTGTCCTCTCCTGGCCAAAGCTAGGCGTTTCTTTGCGATCCGAGCGCTGACATTGCAGATCCGTATTAAGAGTTATATCATGATCTGAATGATATTTTGTGCCAATCTAATCAACCAAACACACAACACCTTCACTTGGAGCCCCTTTAAGTCAGCTCACTGCCCTTCAACCATGACCGTTTTCATTTGACGCTGATCCACTTTTCTTCACCAGTCTCCATCCACTTCAAAAACGGGTTGATTTTGTTACGATTCGGCAGCGATTCACAGATAAAAATTTGGTCCATGAGGGTTTTTCCCTTTCACTCATGTGGCGCATATGCACCGAACTTCAAGTGATGCCAAACAATTTTGTGCAGAAGAGCATCTTTTGCATCAAAAATACCAGAACGAAACCGGTGAAACCAAAATTGTGCATTATTTACTGTCAAAATATTATTCTTTTAATATATCATATTTCTAGATAAGCCGAGTGATTAGCATGTTTACTAACATGACTAGCCAGGGTTCGAGTCCTAGTCCTACCAATATACAATATTACAGAAAATTAATTAAGGTCGCCCCTCAGCAGGGTATAAAAACTTCTCATGAAAATCCATCGGCTGCTCCGAGGCAGCTTGGACTAAACTGTGGATTTCCCTATTAGAGGAAAAACTCGGCTGAAAGTTGCTTCAGCTGATGAATTTTCGTTTTGTAGTTGCACTTTTTTCGTTTTCGTTACTCGGTATCAATAGAGAAAAAGTGCCGAGCGTCATGCGTAAAGGCAGGAGGTGGATAAACAATTTGAAAGACCAACCTCTAGATTAAATTAAGATGACAGAATTCTTTTACCGTATTGGCCTACTGGACATCCATCCATACTACTGGAATTACTACAGTGAAGGTTCATGCAACCTCTTGTCGGTTTGTTCTCATTATTCTGGTTGTCACAGCGGGTCGCTAATACCACTTAGGATCGAGAAGTCTCAGAAAGCGACTCGTTTCGAAGCATTTGGATTAAAGAGCCGAAGTGAAATTATTCGTTTCCCTTCCGAGAATTTAATTAAGGATAAGACTTTATTCCTACTAAACCTTATTGAGAAGTACCGAGGAGCCTGGCGTTTACTTTTTTTTCTTTGTACACTTAAACGAACTGAGCCAACGGATCAAGAACTTTGATAGAAAACTTAGTAATCCACAAGGCTATAACCGCTCTTCTATTATTCTTTTTTAACACATTTCTAGAACAACTGAAATCATGAATGCTTTAGCTCGTATCACGCACTCTGTTATTTCATTAAGCATAAAGCATTGAATGTATAATGGCTAGACGTAATTGCTAATCTTGCTTAGTTGAAATCTTTAATATAAAACCATTTTTGTTCTTTTACTCCTCCCCTCCATATTCAACAGATACTCAGCACCAAATTGCTGGCGAAACGCTCGAATCTGAAACTAAAATCGGTGACAATCATACACAGCGCCACCACCGAAACCGTGCGTCTACCCGACGACAACAACGGCGTCATCGTGCATACGGCCGTCCGTACAAAAGTACCGTTCAAGAAAAAGGTTCGTGGCGAACGCAACAATAAAGGCAAGGGAGCACACCGAAGTGGCAGTAACGGTAATATTGGTGCTGGCAAAACGCAGGCTAACAACGTTGGTATGATAGCGTCCAGCAAGACCGGTGAATTAGCCACGAAATCGACACATGCACATAATCGAAGCGGAAAACTGAGCAGCAGCGCGGGGCTGATTACAACAGCAGCTGTACTGCCGGCTATCGGTGCGGGCGCGTTGGTTGGTGAAGTAAGCAAACCGGCGCGTAACAAGAAGAATCGCGTTGGTAGTAGTGGTGGTGGCGCGACAGCAGCAAAACCCACGACTGTTGCACCAGCTTTAAATGCTGCGCTAACGGCTACAGGTAACGCCACAAAAACAGCGGAAAACGAAGTGAAGCCGAAAGCCAAACGCTTTAAGAAGCACAACAAAGAGATCATCGACTATTCATCACGCAGTGGCCAAGATGCTGCTAGTATTAGCGGTGGTGCACACACGAACACATTTGGCAAAGTGCAAAAGTGGCTGCTGGAGTCGCCTATTGTTGTGCAGCCACTGTCACATATAGAGCATTCTTCAAAGATACGCAAGGTGATGAGCAAATCACAGTCCACACCCGAGCGACTCGTACAGAAGTCACCACAGAAGTCCAAATCGGTGACGAACCTGGTCAATGACAAAGTGAAACTGCAAGTAGTGTACAAGCCGCCATTTAAGTTTGCGCTGCGACTCTCCAAGAATGCCAAAGTGAAGACGCATGTCATTGGTGGCGCAGTGAATAAACTGAAGCGACAGACGCGTACGCCGGGCGCAGGCGCAACCGGTGCCGGCGAGGGTAAACATAAGAGCAGCAATCAAAATAGCGAGGGTAGCAAAAACTCTGGCAGTGTCGGAGTTGGTGGCGGCAGCGAGGAGGTTAAGTGCAAACGCATCGCCTTGCTACTCCGCAATAATAACGAAGACAATCAAATACTAACCTTAAACGAACCGACGTACGAGACACTCAATCCGAAAACCATGCCCTCCAAAATGGAGAATCCCTTCTATGAGAATTTACACTGCAGCGCAGTAACTGGCGAAAAGACCTCAGCGCCAATAAATGCGAATACGCCGCCTAAGGCTTCCAGCTCAAGCAAAATAACAGCAGAGGCAGCACACCCCGCCGGCGCACTGCAAAAGCAACGTACGCAAAACTACAGTCGCTCAAATTCATTCTCAACCAACAATCCATTTGCATCCACGAGCCACGCCGCCGCGCCGCTCCACACACGTAAGCTGAGTGAAAGCAACAGTGTACAGCAAGCGACGACGGCGAATGCACACATTTTAGGGCGCAACTTCGGCAGCACTCAGAACCTCGGTCAAATTGCGCAGAATCAAAATCACTTAGCCAAATCAAAAAAGCGCAGTAGCTTGAATCTGAAGCTGAATAGCGCCTCAAAGAATGGTAAGGATCCACCTGTGGCAACGCGTCGTAGCAATTCCAATATGAATTTACGTAGTAATACGACGGCCACCAGCACATATCAGCCTAGTACCTTCACTGATGAGGCGCAACCAAATGCCATTGCGACCGCCACCACAAACACAACCACTTCCACGCATGCCAACAGCAGTGGCGCCAATTTGGCGGCCACCGTCTCTGCGAGTGGATCCTCGGAGCGACAACTGCGACGCAGCTCGAGTAGCACCAACGCCTATCAACATCAGACCAAATCTACGGCACAGGGTGCGACCAATTTGGGATTCACAGCGGCGGCTCTACCAACTGCGCGCACCAGCTTCAGCAATATACCACGTGCCAGTCTCAATGGCACAACTGGGATTGCGTCTAGCACGACTAGTGGTCTGGGCAATTTTAATCGCATAACAGATGTAGATCAACTAGTCGCGGGCAGTCAGTCCAGTCACAGTAGTCACGGTAGTCACGGAAGCCACCACAGCCACAATAGCCATCACTATCATGCACCGGCACGGCATGAGCACCGACGTAGTCGTAGTAATGCACATTCCACTACAGCACCAACAACACTAGCCAACACTGCCAATTCAAATGCCACCGCCACGACAGCAGAGCACCTACAGCAACAGCCACAACCACAAAAACGTTCCAATTCCATTAGACAACTACAGCATAGCTATCATCCACCGCCGTTGCCATCTGTTGCGGCGCCCAGTCACCTCGGTCAGGGTCGCATTGAGGCAGAGCATGAACTGCCATCCGATTTGGAGGTTTTACTGTCTGATGTAGAGAATTTAGTTAGTTAAGGGTTAATAGTTATAAGTATTAGATGGGCGCTGGTGTATTGTGGGAAGGTAGAGAGAGCAAAACCTCTCTGCAAAGCAATTAATCGGTGTTTAAAAGTGGTTGAAGAGTTACTTAAGTACATATGTGTGTATTTAGATAAAAAAAATAGTAGTACTACTCATGTTTTGTTTATTGCAGCTGAGGAAAAGAAAAATCGGATAAAGTGTTTTCTAAATATTGTATTTTTTAATTTTAAATTCATTTTCACATTCGATAACAATCGCTTTTTATCGATATTTTATCTTTATTTAAAGAAAACAAATTTTTAGTTTTCCGAAATCATTTAAATATTTTATTTTCATAAAATAAATATTAAATACCGCATATTGTCCATTATTTTCTATTATTGTAATTAATTGCGAATTATTTTCGTGATTTTTAAATAACTACCGACTATTAATATACGGTTTTCATCGAATTATTAGAATATTTATAGTACTCAAAAATATTTGTGATTTACTACATATTTCAAAACTGCGCGATAGTGAAAAAACGGAAAGAAATCGCTAAATACTTCGATAAATAATCGAAAAGCTAAAATTCATTAATTATGCTTAAAATGATTGAAAAATGTATCGGATTATTTTAATTTTTTTCTTTTCACTAATTAAATTGTAAAATAGTTATCGATAAATCGCAAAGCTATCGAAGACTTAATTTTTTAAAATAATAATTAAACTAAATTTTGTATTTCAACTTCTATTTATAATTTTTTAAACTTGCATATAATCGATAATTTCATTTTCGATAATACTTTTTTAATGTAAAGTTATCGAAATTGTTATCGAAAATGTTTCAACTATTTACTCTGCTTTGCACTCATTTCACTATCAAGAAGAGATAGAAAATTTTCAAACTGCTCACCCCACCCCTGCGCTTTGACTCCCCGCAAGCCGACTCACCTGACTGATGGCAACCCCCAAAAAATCACACACTTGCTTTTAGCGAAAAAAAACGCAATGCACTTGTCCGTCGATAAAAATGTCTTCATAACTGAAAAATAAAAAAACATATAGGTACGGAAGTTAAAAACAAACAAAAAACAACTTAAAAAATTAAGTATAAATATTTTTGTGATTGTAATTTATATTTGCACTCCAGTGAATATTATTATTAATTAAGAGCAGAGCATAAAATAAAATTAAAAATAAAAATTAAAACAAAAAAATCTACATGCATATATGAAAATCTACTTACGATAATTAGGCTTATAAGTTCTTTTATAAGTAAGAATACAGTTATAGAAAAAATACTCAAGTGCATACATAGACTTACAAAAAAAAAAATTAAAAACAGAAAATAACTCAATTAAAATACTCTTTTGAAGTTATGTCATTTTTACATATTATACTTTCATGATTGAGTAAAAATTAAATAAAAACTGCAAATTTGTTTTTCGATACAACAAATGTTTATCTTTTTAAGCCGTTTAAAAATAAAAATAAATTAAAATTATGCTGACTTATGAATCTTTGTGTCAATTAAAATTAACTGTGTAAAAAAATATAAATTAATTATATAATACATGCGAGTATATAGTTTAAACTACAATAAATACAGCAAAAAAACAAAAACAAATTATGTATGTATGTATGTACTTGTTAGTTTTAAGTGAGTAAATTTTAATGTGTTGTATATGTATGCATGTACTATATGTTAACGCGAAAAGGAACAATGATACATTAGTAAAGAAGTGTTCTGGCAGGTATTTTATTTAAAACCACACAACAAAAAAAAAAGAAAAAAAAACGAAACAGAACATTCCCTGCTGCTGCTTTCAATGTTATTTTAATGTATGTAAATTATCGCAAAGAATTTGTAATTTGTAAATATATACGAGCGAAAATGTATTGGAAAAAGGTAAATATGGGATATGATATACATACATATAGACGACGAATATGTTCTAATCATTTTGTGTCTGTGAAACATTTTAAATATTAATTTTATTAATATTACTATTATTATTATTACCATTATTATTATTACTATAATTATTATTATTACAAATAAATGTTAAATTTACTGATATGTAGTTTACACGTAATTAACACAGAAACACACCCAAACATGCAGCCACTTAGTTTAATGTGAGAAGCTAGCTAACGTATATGTAAAATAAATAAATAAATAAATAATTGAAGAAAAAACACACACACGATAATGCTAATTTTAAGTTAAATTCTTAACAAACGAAAATTACAACAATAAAAATAAATAAACGCAGAATGAAAATGAATATTGCCGCCTACAATTTCTATACCGCTTAATGAAAACTCATAAACATACATACATACATACATGAGTTTGAATTTATATATAAAAACAAAAAAACTATTAAAAATTTATCACCACTAAAATGCTGACAGAAAACATATGCATACAAATATACATATATACAAATAGACAACCAATTGGCAGACCTGCGTGTGTATGTACATATATAAAGAACAAGATATACAATAAAATATTGAGAATCTCTATAAGCTTAGGCCTCAACTTTCCATTTCACTACTACTACAACGAACTTGAATTAACAGTAAGGCAGCGAGTGATAAACTGATTGTTTGCTTTTTTCATGAATATGTTTTATTTAAAAAAAATCATTATTTAGTGTTTTTATAATTATTTATATAACAACATCTAAAATTAGCCGCTACAGCAGCCAGTAAAAAACACTTGGTTAATAGTAAGGAGTTCTAGATTTTTTTTAATAAGCAGTTAACCATTCCTTATTTTTAATATTTCAATATGCAGACTATCTCTTGTGTGTTCCTTTTGAAAATCAAACTGTTATTTAGTTACTACTAGCGTACCGAGTAAAACTTAAGCAGGCTTCGCTAACGAAATTGCTTTAAAATTATTTCACAAAATCAGATTTTGCCAATTCAACTCACTTATAAGTAACTAAAGCTACAAAAGTGATCAACAAGCTACAACTAATTTTTTTCACATTGAACAATCAAATAAATATAATAAATTATGTATAAAAAATTTAGAAGGGCTGATAGAATCCCGGTAAGAAAAACCAAAAATGCAATTTATGTATGACTGCACAAATCCTTATATATATACTCGTATATATGTGTGGATAATGTACATATATGTGTGCATAGCCATTTTTCAGTTAGCGGCAGTAGAAAATTTATGGTGATTAATTTTACAGATAAACACAGTAAATTCATGCAGGCAAGCAACTGTAGTAGCGGATACAACAACGGTTATGTATGAGAAATGCTCTACTTTAAGTATATTTTTTAACAAAATAACTTACCAAAAAAAAAAAATTAAATGAAAATAAAAATTTAAAATATATCACTTTTTCTGTGTTTTTTTTTTTTGCGTTTCATTAAAAATCGGAAACTTCGATAAAATACAAAGCATACAAAGAATAAAAAGCACTTTAAAGGAACTTGTGTCTAATAGAGGTAAAGCTGATATTAAATGAAATTAAGAATAGGCTACAGTTGGTTTTTTTATATTTTTTCTTTAAGGTCTACGTTAAGATGTTTAAATTTATTGTATCAACGATTCAATGCCGACATTTTTCTACAGCCGCCATTTCTCCTCAATGACCGACATTTTTAATTCACTTTTGTAGCTCGTTTACTAAATAACGCGCCCACAACCAGTTATAAAACCGTTAATTTACAAATTTTATTTGCATCACTAGTTGAATTCTCATTAACATCATTAAATAATTAATTGATTTCCCATACGCGAATGTGTAATAAATCACTACATTTCTCGTATCTACTTCAAACTGGAACGAAAAAATAATTTTATTTCCGGCAAGAAATGTCAATATTGTCAAAGTTCAAAAACACAGGGTACGCCGTAAGCCCAAGTGTTTTGCGTTAACGACCATTTAAACTAACGAAACAAAAGGAGAAAACGATTTTCTCTGAACACGCGCCTGTTATTACTTTTATACATTTCAGAAAAATATTATAAATATTTTGTCGCTCCCAAACTAATGTTCATGATATGAATTGTACTTAAAATTTGTCTCTTTTGACCATTCTGTAAATACCGACGTTCCGTCCGGTACTTGAAAATGACAGGTGTTCACAAAAGAAAATGCCACATTATTAAAATTAACAACCTCATTGTTTGTTTTTTTGTTTAATAAACTATTCTCAATAAAATTTTACAACCTTTCACCTTGTGTGAAAAACTTAAAATTTTGACGAAAGAATTTATTTTCCATTGTTATTAAAATGCAATTAATCTGCCAATAGTTGAAACTTATTTGCACAGGTATTATGTCCGGCAACACATAACAGTGTAGATATGTCAATTTTTTTTGCATATTTGGAAAATTGTTCGAGATGAAAAACGTCATAAAACATGTAAATTTGCAAAAAATATTTTCCAAAACTTTTACAAGTTTTGTAAATTGTAACTAATAAAAACGTGACGAAATTACAAACGTTGAAACATAACTTGACTTGTTTTCGGTTTAAGCAAATGGAAGTTTTTGTAAATTCTTCTAGTGTACACAAAAAACTTTCCAGCTGGTGCCATTTGTGAAGGTGAAAATACAACAATATACATACATATGTACATAGATACTTTTATAGTGAAGAATTGTTTATAAACTAATATCTCGACTTAAAATTCTTTCAAAGTAAATAAAATATCGTTTATTTCTCAAATGTGTCATGCATTTGTTGTCCGTATAATTAATATGGACTTTGCAAAGCAAATTTACTTATAGCTTGCAACATAATACAGATTTATTAAATGTATTGTTTGCTGTTTTTATTTGTATCATTGATAGCTGGTGCCACAGTATTATATCTGCAAATAGATGTGAATAATTTAACTGGCTTTGCATAAAACCACAGAAGAGATAAGACATTGACCCCGTTAATTGCTACAAAACTCAGTTATACTCTGACTTGGTGCAAGCAAAATCACTGTGCACATATAACATATCGTTCATTCCTCTTTCCTAACGTGGCCAAAACTCGATAAGGTGAGCGTGATATGATTTTGGTTTTGATGACGCATTCACGTTAATAAAAACTGAGGTGCAGCTCAAGTATATGTGTTTGTATTAAAAACATTTTCATTAATTGGAAAAAATTATACCGTGTTGCATTTAGATACTAATTTTGAAAAACATTTGCTAATTATTGTAGTTATTTCATTTAACAACACATTAAGGAAGTATTAACAATGGCAGGCGTACCTCCCATACCACCACTACTCTGTAATACACCGCCACCAATAGATTTCGGCGACGAGGATGACGATTCCGGTTTGCCGCCTACGCTAACACTAGATGAAGATGAATTTGGTGAGTTTGCTTTGGGCGTGGACATAAATGAGGATGCAATGAATGTCGAAGGTAAGTGTAAATATAACATACATCAGTCATGTTAAAAACTTTTATTGTTATAACTTCAAAATAATTAAATTTACTAAACAGCTTCCTCCCTGCCCCGCACACCGCTGCCATTTGAGCTAAGTTCCTCCACGACTAGTGGTTTTACGGATGTCGCACACACTTTAGAAGATTGTGGCGCTATATCGATCAGCCCGCCTGAATTAAGCATTTCTCCTACACATGAAGAAGATAAAACAAAAGTTCAACTCAATGAAGCATTCAACTATAATGTCATACAAAAATGTTCAACAGATACTGATGCAATACAATTTAATGACACTGTAAATAAATTAATAGAAAAAAATGGAAATCCAAACATAAAAGATACAGCATCTACACTATCACAGGTGGCTGACAATAACAAATATAGCAATGATTCTAATGATGCCAAAATTGCAACAGCAACAGCTGTTGTGCAAATTGAACATGAAACTGAAAAACTTCCCGAAGTTCAAGAATTTGAAAAGGAAAGTTCTAAAGCTGTACAGGATCAAGATATACAAATAAAGCCAAATATAGAACCTGTAATTTCACAAACTCCTCCTCCTCCTCTGACTGGTCTCGTCCAGCTAGAAGATCTAACTGACGACAGTAGCGATGAAGATTGCCATCGGTCGCCGAAGAAGACGTCAGTATCCCCGATATCTCCTACGGCGAGTAATGAGGACTCAAACTCCGATGATTTCTTTGCAATTCATATTGTTGATGAACCAACTTCACCAAAACAAGACAAATTATCGCCAATTGCAGAGGATATAAATATGAATAACTCCTCCAAACAAAATAATAATATAGTAAATGATGTAGAAAATGAGAAAAACTCAAACCTAACTGTTGTTGAGCAGCAGAGTGATGATGATGATTTCGGTGATTTTGCCGATTTTGAATCAGCCACTGATTTTATAAATCCGGCAACAACAAGCGAATTCTCCACAACCGATTTTGTGGATAACAATAGAAATATAAAAGTAGAAGAGGTAAATTATTGCATTATTCGTTGTTAATTGTTTTATTCGCTTATACATTTTTACATTTTTTATAGACTCCTAGGGATAACAATACTCCAATTAATGATATAGATGTTGACTTCGATGATTTTGATGATTTCCAAGATTTCACAACAGCACCCATATCAAAGCCATCTACTGCGCCAGCCACATCAGAACCGAAAACTTTAAATAATACAGCGAAAAACGAAATAGAAACAAACTGTGCGATTTCGGCAACTGATAGCAGTGTAACGCACATAGAGAGGGAAGCGAAGCCGTTTGAAAATATCGATAATGCTGATGATGATGATGATTTTGGCGATTTCGAGGAGGCCACTTTCGCAGCAACTTCAAATGCACAAACTCCCCTCACACCAATTTTACAAACACAAACCCCACTTACTGCTAATGGCAATATAAATGAACGCCTTGGTACGGTGCTAAAAATGATGTTTCCTGTTGAAGATGAAGGCTTAGGGGATGAAACTCAGAATAAAATAAAAATAAATCTTACGAAAGAATTACCCAATTTACAATCGCCAAACTCTAAACTTCCTTTCGAAGCGATAGAAGCTGCCAAAGCCTTAGAATTCCAGTGGCCACAGTCGGAAATGCGTCATGCGCTCATACGTTCAATCGGCATTGATTCACGGAATATTGTAATGCTGAGTTATTTGTTTATTTTTTTTTTTTTAAACCATAAAAAATCAAATTTTCTTACAGCTGTTTGGTGATAATTGGAATCCCTCAATGCCACGATTTGCTGCCAATCTCAGCTTTAATCCGTTAAAACCAATGAAACCGCAATCCGCCAACAATACAACACCAGCAACATATACGGATGTTGATACCATGTCATACGGTGGCAGTGGTAGCAGCAACAATGCTAACGCTATTGATTCGGACATGAGTAGCTATGCTAAACCAACAGATGTACCTGATGTTGAATTTGATTGGCAAGGCGCCGGTTTTGTTAATCCACTTGACGGTAAGCATGTTTACGTAAATTAATTAACCAAATCAACCATAACAATTACACGACAGCCTGTAAACGCTCTCACAAAATAACTAAATTGAACGCATACCTCGCAAAACTTTTGACTGATATGAGCTTTGTACATATTTTCCACAACTTTTATTTTTTCAAGATTTTCTTTTGGGCCATTGCCATTGATACATACATGTCTTGAGCAATCTGTTTTTCATTTTGTTCTGATCAAATTTTCACATACCCTCGCAAAGTTCTTCTTTTTTTTCTTGTATTATTAAAACATAAACGCTTTGTATGTGCTTTACTTACAAACTTCTAATTATATATACATATATTTGCAAACTGCATGGATATTGCTTCGTTTTTAAATATGCAACTGTGCCCTAATAGCAAAATGCGCAAGAAAATAAATGTACAAATGTTTTGAACGCGTGCGAAATGTGTGTAAGTTTAAAATTTTAAATAAATGCAAACTTTCTATGCTAAAGTTTACTTGTGTTAGTTTCAACTTTTTCAACTTTACATATTGACTGCAGCTAAAAAACTTTGCTTAAAAAATATTCACATTTATTTGAACAGATTTGAACTAAAATCATATTTTGGTAAAAGTATATGTAAAGTAATATCAGTTCTAAAGTAATTTCTATGCTAATTCGGAGATTTTGTAAATTATTTCTTATAAACACTGTTAATTAGCCGTAGTTTTTTATACACGTACGTATACTTTCATATACAGTTGCGTGCAAACTCATTAACAACGACTTATCCCTATAGATTATACGACCGTTTCCGTAAACATTTTAAGTGTAAAAATGGAATTTTATTTTAAATTCTCTTCTAACAAAGTATGATCAGAAATTCCGTTATTTTGAAACAGTTAACGTTTTTTTTTGCAAATGTGAGTAAAGCGGTCGTGCATATAATTAGCAACGCGTATTAAATTCTTATGATTTCTTGTAAATTAGTTGTGTCTTAGTTTATTAAAATCTATTATTAGTAAGTAATTAAATAATTTTATTAAAAAAAAATGGGTAAGAGCAAATCTTGTGATGAGGACACTAGGGATGTTATCGTACAGAAACATTGCGAAGGCCCTAAATATTTTCAAACGTATCCAAACGTAAGGTTTTAAATGCTGTTAAGTATTTCAATAAGGATAAAATAACAAAAAAGTTCTAAGAAAGAAGAGAAGTCGAAAAACGACTTTTTTTTGGAGGATAAGTTGATTATCCGCGAGCGAAAAAAGAATCCCCACAAGACGGCGAATGAGATACGAGTTACGATATTTGAAGAAAATACCTAATGCACCAACTGTAGATATCGCAAAAAGGAGATTACATGAGGCTGGACTCTTTGGAAGAGTTTCTAGGCAGAAGCCATTACTCTGCGAACGTAGTCGGAGAATACGCTTGGAGTTTGCAAAGAAATGCCTTCATTGGGCAGCAAACCAGTGGAAAAGTGTACTGTTTTCTGATGAAAATAAAATAAATAGGATTTCTTTAGATGGGAAAACTTATGTCTACAGGCCTCGATGCAAAGAGTTGGACCCAAACTACACCAGGCCAACTTTAAAACATGGTGTCGGCTGTACAATGGTTTGGGGTGCCATGCCATTATGATGCCTTGGGCCTATTTGTAAAATCGTTAGGCACATGGACCAGTTTAAGTACATATCAATCGGGAGCAACATAATATTAACTTAAGCTGATGGCAATATGCTCATGACGCGGATTTATCAGCAGGATAACGATCCGAAACAACCTGCAGGTAACACAAAGCAATGGTTTCAGGATAATATGGTGACCCGATTAAACTGGCTCTCATGCAGTCTGGACTTGAACCCAATCGAGAATCTATGGACACATTTGAAGAAAAGAGTTCCTTCCCATAAAGTTGAAAATTTCCAGGATTTTTGTGAAAAAGTTACACAAGTACAGAATGCCATTCCAAAGGACACTTGCAAAAGTTTAGTGGAGTCAATGCCTCGTAAATGTGAAGCCGTAATTGACATTAAAGGATTCGGAACCAAATATTAACTTAAGAAGTAAAATAAAAGCATTTTTCCAAAAAACAAAGACAGCGTTGTTAATTAGTTGCACGTATCTGTATATGTGCTTAAGTTTTCCATGAAACATAGCACTGTGTTGTTAATTTTTCACACAAAAATGTGTGTATACATACAGATGCGCGTTTAAAAGACACGGCTCTGTTACAGAAAATCTAAAATATTTTCTATTTTAAAATTTTTTTACTGCCAAATTATGCAAGCAAAATGTATATACCGGAGTTATAGTACATAGAAATAACTTCAATTTTGTCTGGCATTTTACAGCATTTTACATTTAGCAGTAATAAGGAATTATTTTCAAAATATTGTGTTATCGTTGTTTCTTCAAAATTCTTTTTAAAATTTTATTTTATATTTTTAGCTACTAAATGCTTCTACCATTTTTTTGTTCACTTTATTTATTCTTTTTATTTATCTATTTATTTGTTCAAACACACAATCATAAGTTATTTTACAATGCTTGAACTTAATTCTAACTTTAATGTTGTTCTTATTATATTTAACTTATTATGAATTTTGAAAATTTATTTACTTATATTATTCCAACAATTTTTATTTTTATTAACTAACCTCAAAAAACACCGTGTAATTGTTTTACTAACATTAACACCGACCAACAACTAACTCCATTTTAAAAAAAAAAAAATCACACACACACACCAACAAATCTATGATGATGAATAAAAACAACAAAAACAACAAATATATATGTATATATGTATGTATACGAAATGATAAGCATCACATGCTCACACTTTACTATTGGATCTAGACCAAGTTATGGTGATGGCTACTACTAAGCTTGATAACTTAAATGTTGATTCCTCCTCCTACTCCTTCTCTGCATGTGCAACGTTGGAACATATAAAAATACCAACAACAATAATAACAACAACTTGTACCACTGCAACAACAATAACCACCGCTAATAACCAATTAACTAATCAAATGCAACGGTTTAATTTAATGCCAATTAATACTGAAACAACAATACCAACGCCCGCATTTCACACATTTGGTCAATTGTCATCATCATCATCATCACATTCATCATTATCATCATTAAAAATTAATAATTCATCCACATACGGCAATTCGTCGCCGAATTTCTCACTTAATGTTGGCCGAAACGTGATAAATACTTACGAAAATAACTGCACTTATCAAAATTTTTCAACCAATGCACTCACCGCCCAATGTACTAACACCACACATACCAATGCTGAACTAAACGCTTATCACACTCTTAACACATGCGCAAAAACAACAAATTCACTTGTCACACAACATCCTGTTGTTGTTGAAAATCTCACCAATAATGAATCGTTAATATATTTGAAAAATGTTACTAATCACTTTTTGGCAATCAATCAAAATCATACGAATCCTATGAATAATAAAAATATGAACAACAACAACAATAATAACAATACCTTAAACTCAAATTCAAATACTCGCTTTATAATGTCAAATCCTAAAACAACTCAATCATCATCAAAATGCCTTTATACACCGACGTTGATATGGGCTGATTTTTGCAATGACTCTAACATGCTCAATAAACCAATGGAATGTGCCAACTTTCACTTGAACCCAAATCGCTTACCGGACTGTAGTAGTAAGTTAAATGATTGTATTGTTGTTGTGGCATATAAATAAGGTATTTTTCATGATACATGTAGGCTAAAGTAGGATATAGTGCCGCACCATTTTTTCATTGGAAAACTATTTTACTCACAAAATAATTTTATTTAGGAAAAAATTGGTGGAATGTTGAAGATGAATTTACAAAATTGCGTAAAAGTGGTTTTAAAGTAAAATAATTTTTATATTGGGACGCATGACTTTTGTGCACAATTTAGAACAATACAACAACTTCTAATTTTTTTAATAATACTCTGAATGTTATTGTCGGTTGTGTTTCTTATTTGATAGCGACTTTCTAATAACATGCACACGCCAACAGCAAATAAAACAATCAAAAATTACACACATTTCTAACGCCTGTCAGACTGAACCGGCTTACCGAATTATTATCCGTACTCAAAGTGAGTTTTAAACTCATTGAAAAATATCTTCAAACATATTTCTCATCTATAAAAAAAAAAAATCTGACTGAAAGAGTAACGCGTTAGCTCCTTTGCAGCACTGAATATCGATATGTATGTTAGTTACTTCCTTATCCATATATAATTGGCACTTTGTAACCGCTGAAGCGATTTTCGGCCGTGCTCCTCTTCCAAATTGGGGCATGCGTCTTGATGTTTTTCCAACAAATGAAAGGACCTACAGTTTATGCTAAGCCACCTCCGACCGGCTGTTGTTGAGAGCCTGCATTTCATGTCATAAATACACTCGTTTGGGTTGACATTCCCTGCTGAGGGACAACTGCAGTTGGAAAAATTAATTTTCTGTAATTTTCGGATATTGAACAAAGCAGGGCTTGAGCCCTAGTCCTTAGAATAACCACTCGGTTATTGCGGCCGCCACTTCGTAACTACTTGTGGCTAAAAGACAACAAAGATGGTGAGCGCTTCTAGCTTTTATTTTATATATTAATATATATTACCAGCTCGCACAGTACCAAATTCACCATCCGTGTTAAACTAATTTCGAATTTCAAAGTATCCTTTGTACGTATTAATAAAACGGATAAGTACAATTTACCGAAAGGAAAGAATCCTCCGAAACAATGGCGAAATGGGGTTCTATGAACCATTTTTTTACTTTACAATAGATCACAGCTCAGTCGGTAGAATGTCAATTCATTACCCCCCGCTCTCTCTCTCATAGTTATGCTCCTTTTACCAAAACACATATGTACAAATGTAGTTTAAACAAAAAAAAAAAAAAATAGACCGCACTCTATTTTTAGTTTAGTTTGAAACAAAAAAAGTGTTAAAAACCTGCACATTCAGCCTCCTAGAAACCTAAAACTGCATGTATAAAATTAAAAACAACTATTTTCAGATTTTTTTTAAAGAAAATGTGCGTCATATACCCTACTTTACCCTCTCTGCCTTTAATTTTGTGTACTACTTTTTGTTTTTAATTTCTTAAGTTTGGCTGTTCGCCGTTGTTTTGAGTTTCTCTAAAGCACACTTGAGAAAAACATTTTTTTTCATTTTTTTTTTGTTTTTTATTATGAATTTAAATTTATAATTTAATTATGTACTATTGGTGGACATTACCGCTAGATATGTGCAAGAATTTACACCTTCTAACTTCGAATATTCCTTAATCGTTTTTGTTGTTTCTTTCAGCTTTATTATTCAATTATTTTGCACTTTTAAGCTTACTCTTTTACTATTGTATTTAAATAAGTTTTTTGCTTTGAGTTTGAATTAACAATAATATTAAATCTTTCGTTGCCTTACAGGGGTCAAGGGGGAGGCAAACACGCGAGAGACTGAAGCGATTCACCCGTCGTCGCCTACTACACGGCTTGATACACCCGATGACCAGCATCAATCGGATACAACCTATACAAACATCGACGATAACATTTCCGAAACCCTAAGCAAAAACGAACGACAAAACGAACTGAGAGCATCGCCAACACGAGACACGTGCCCATCGCCCATAACTTTGGATAATGCTGCATATCAGTTCGCTATACAAGACCAGCAGGGCATTAATATGAACGTAGCCAGTAACAGTGGCAGCTCCAGTGCCGCCAGCAGTATCAGCAATATTAAATCTTATGATAACAGTAAAAACATAACGGCATTGCGTTTAGGTGCTAACGTTATAGTCGCAGATGATGATGATGACGATGAAACGGTGGTGACTTCTACCTATGCCGGTCCACTTAAGGAGACCCATATATATACACCTTCGAAAACAGAGTTAGCGGCAACATCGAAAGCTGGAAAATCGCCTGTGGTTGCCAACGAACCAATTGATTTTGATTATGAAATCGCAGCAGCGGGCATTATTATCGACGAGAAAGTGGTGAAGAAAGAATATCGTGATGTTGAGTATAATCCCGGCTTTAGTTTGGATGTGGTTAATGAATATGGTGGTGAGTTGACGCTGAACAAAACTGAGAGTTTCGGTGTAGTCTCAAGCATATCGGCATTACCATTGACCCCAACACAAACACAACAGCAGCAACCGTCAACAGGCAGCGATTTTGACACTGATGAATTCACAGAGTTCACAGAATTTCAATCAGTGCCACCGCCGTCTGCAGTCCATGCAGCAATGCCAACAACAGATGCAACTTATGGCCACACAATTCCCACTAGTACAATAACGTCCAAGTTCCCTGTAGAGCAAAACACTAAAACAACACTTAATAGTTTACCACCCGTCCTACCAGCAGCCGTTACCAAAGCAAAGGAAGTTAATAATACACCGAGTCGTACAAACTCACCATCTACAATTGACAATATGATACTCAGTCCAGCCATTCTGTTGCCACAAGCTATACCGATGAACTCAAGTAATGCGACGGCGGTAACCAAGGCCGCGCCCACAATTGAATGGGGTAACTCGACCGCCAATATCAATCCTGACGAATTGGCGCGTATCGAAGAGTTCTATTCTCAACCAAAAATATCGTCAGCCGGCAAAGATGCTGTGAACTCATCACAAAAGTCCACACCAACGCACGCTTATGCGGAGAGTCAAGCGAAAAGTAGCACAATTTCCATAAGCGCCTCGGTGGCGTTAAAGGAGCAGGACTCCACGCTCAATGATGACTACTGGTCAGAGTTTGTGTCAGTGCCGGTTGCGCCGACACAACTACTAAATAATACCAGTCGGCTCAACAACAACAACAATGCCGGCAGCAGTAGCAACAACAACAATAATAATAAAAACAACAACAATAACAATCAATCGATCATGCTATCAAAACGCATGGGAGATTTGCATATCAGCAACAGCAATAATGCAATGCGTTCGCCACGTCATCACCATCAACAGCAGCAGCAACAACAGCAAAACAACGCTCATCGCACGCTGACACCAACGCCACAGCAAAAGTCAATTGCACACTCAGCGAACTTAACCAACAACAGCAATAGCAATAGTAACAGCAATGATGATGATTGGTCCGATTTCGTGTCGAGCACACCAACACCGGCAGCAGTGTCCACACAGCATGCTAACACATACATGCCTGCTGCGCATGCGCCGCAATTCAATAGTGCAGCTTGGCAAAATGCCAATTTCTACAATAATCCGCTCGGTTTATATCATCAGCAGGCCACAATGCAAATGCGCAGTCTAACACCGCAGCAACAACAATTACAGCTGCAACAACAAATACATATAATGCAAGATTTCTCCACAGCACCCATATCGAACCGTCCACAAAACATAATGCATAACAGCAACAATTCCACAGCAATCAGCAATATGCAACATTCCAATACATACTCAGCGCTACAGGTGGGTAATGCTCGGGTAGCGCCGAGCATATCATTAATACCCGATTTAGGTTTTGTCGCACCAGCGTTGCCGGTGCATACCGCCTTCGTCAATGTGCTGCCCAAGACGAGTTTTAATAGCAAAAAATGACGTTTGTTAAATTGCGAACAGCAGATGCACAATCGTGGTCGTACAACACTGGCACATTCCTATCGTACGCACTTACCCAAAGCTAGTCCCGTTACAGCAACTGCCCACACTACTTCCATGCATGATATCCTGACATAGAGTTAGCTGCACAATTATACTGCATACAATATGACCAAAATACTTACTACTTAGTACTTATGTATGTAGTATGTGTGTGTGTGTGTGTGTGTGGCGTGGAAGAGAAGTGTAGCAGAAATCTCCAAATATGACGTAGAAATATATGTAGAATTGTTAAATAGTGTGGTGCAAAAGTTCGTACTGCTGAAGCAACGAATGTGTTTTTTTTTTAGCTATAGAAGCTTACAAAAATTAAGTTTGCTCAGTATTTTCAATGTATTTGAAATATGTATAGTTTTGCTCAGTCGATTTCTTTTGCAAATTATAAAATCTTGGTCAGCAAATGTATGTGTATTGGGCTTGTTTTTGTTTAGTATTAATTAATAAATTGTTAAATAAATATTTTACTTAAATTCAGCAAAAAAAAAAATGTAAACATTAGTCAAAGAAACATAGTATTTGCTTTGATTCTATTTATATGTGTATAAACATAGATCGTTGTTAAAATAAGTGTAGCAAGTTCCCAACATGTAGCGCTGTCCTGTGTAGAATTTTCTAAATATTAACCGAATTTGAGCTGTTCGTTACTTTTGCCGCAACTGCAGAGACATAGCTGAAGTGGAATCGATAAAACATTACATTTGCCACAACCCAACTTCCAGTGCGATCCATTAACGTTTTCTCGGAAATTTCTTCTTCGATTGCCCTACAGATATTGCACCTGTAGGCATCATCAATTACTTAAAACCTCGGCGACTTAGACTGATCAAAACTCTGCCTAAGCGGGGTTAGCGAACCGCTAAAACAACAACAACAACAACAACTACAACAACAAAAACAACAACAACATCATCGTCAATTACTTAAACTTCATAAAGCACACCAAAGTGGTTTGCTCAAATGGAAAGGTGAGAAGAATCTCATTCACAGCACCAACATAGTTGACATAATGGGCCAGTAGACCTAAGTGCGCTGGCTTGAAAAGGGTTCCGTGATCGAGCAACCTACTTAACTAACTAACTGACTAAATTCTCTAATCTCAATATATTTGGCGATTAGATTGATTTAATATCCAATCGACATAAATGATTTATAGCAAAATTGAAGAAAACCAAAGTCGATAGTTGCGAATAGTTTCTCATACAACACAGAGTTCTACAAAATCTTCTTCTACTTTCCGGCAGTATTATTTACATGTCTGGTCTACTTGCGTGACTTGTGCGGCCGTCGGTTGTTGTTTTGTTGAGCAAGTTAGAGACTACACCCAACGACACTCAGCTATAACTTAGATATGTTTTCCTTACTAACAAACTATATATTATATCCTATATTAGATTACGATCAAGCAGTACTGACACACCCTTCATTCTTTCGCTAGTTTGAGTATGATTAATGTTATTTGTGCAAATTAAAGTAGTCATTTGAGCTTTTTGTTCATTGCTGACTTAAATTCCTTCAGCTTTTCTGCACCCAGTTTGCATAGCCTGAAATTCATTAAATCAATTTAAAGTGTGTTGGGTCAAACTCTTCCTATTCTAATACTTTCTTACAATTTACTGGATATGTAATAAAATGCTCATGAAAGGCTTACACTCAAAGAAGTTCACTACCAGGGGTCGGAAAATACAATGAAGACATGATTTTTTAATGTATAAATATCTAAAAATTGTTAAAATTCTCCACATAGTTTTTATTTAAAAGTAGTGAATTTTTTTATTAAGAGAAGATGACAGCACGAAAAATACAAAGAGAGAGAAGAGACAAAGAAACTACATTTAAATTATTGTGACATGAAACTACCTTAAAAATGTTTGTATCTTGTAACATATATTGTTGTTCATAAATTGTTGTTTTGTCGGTTCGAAAGGGTGCGTTCACATCTTTTTTTTTATCATAAAACTAACCTAAAAATTTCAAAAATAAGTTGAAAATTATGAATTATGGTATACTATTAGTTAACATATCTTTCTAGTTATAAAACAAAAGTCACCCCCTAAGTAATATTTACGCAAGTGTTAGTCTAATCACACCGCCTAACAGAAATCAAATCGGACGTGTATAAAATTCACACGGCGAGGCTTGTCATAAATAGATATGGCGCCGAAATTTATTTATTGTGGTGTTAATTATAGCTTAAATGACCGAAAAACCGAAACCAGTGATTAATTTGCGATATTGATTCGATGATGATTCGCAAAAGTGTAGAGAGTTATGACGCAGTCGAAGATTAGGTGCGCGGCAGCGTGAATGAATGAGTGTTAAGTAAAACAAAATGCAAACAATAAACAATTCATATAAACTATTTTGTCCAGTTCCATTAATACTATTTGTACAATAAATCGACTATAAAAGTGGTGAATTCGGTATGCATATAAATACTTGTACATACATAAATATGAAAAATTTTGACACACAGCATTAACTTAAACAATAAATAGTATGTACTACTTATTAATTAAATTTCATTTGCAAACTATCTATCTGATTACCATACCAAATGCATGCATTTGAATGTGTGAGTTACGTACATATGTATATATATCAAAAAGTAATAATACTTATCTGATTTTTTTCATATATTTTTTTTTGTCTTTTGTAAATGTAACACTATTGCGTTTAAAATATTTAATTTCATTTAATTTCCAGTGTGTTTATATTTGAAAACTATTTGAGTTATGTATTAGTCTTGTAAAATTGTACTAAGTGGTATTTGTAAAAAATAAAAAATAAATACAATTATTGAAAATTATGTATTAAATAGGACGTTAATAATATAGACACATTTGTTGAAGTTCACATTCAGAGAGCTCTACATAAAAATATATAGTACCTAAATATTGTAGCCTATGCAAAAAAAAAAAATAAAAAATAAAATGAATAATGTAAAAAAAACAGTATTTCAATAATAGAAGTATATACAATATAAAAGACATTAGAAATGAAATAAACGCGCCAATGTATGTATGTATGTACTTATCAATCTCAATTGATATGAAACAAAGGCTTAACTAAATTGTAAAATATGCAAAATATATGCCCTGAAAAAATTATACATAGTAATATGTGTATGTATGTAGTTACATACGAGTATGTCATTGTACTTAATATCACGCTCCAATGAGTGTGTTAGCATTCATTATTATTATTCATATTAAATATATATATATATATTTTTTTTTGTTTGGTTGAATACATTATATGGCATAATACTTTTGATTTAAATATATAAACAATAATTAATTGAGTAAATAAATAAGCTTACAGTTTTGGAAACATATAAAAAAGAAATTACGAATTTATTACATATGTACATGTGAACGAAATTGTGTCAGTAATAATTTAATTTGTAACAAGAAAGAAGAGCTGTATTTGGCATTGCCGAAGACTTTCAAATAAGAGGTGTTATTTTAGATAGCCTGCTATTCCGGTAAATCTCACTTTTGAAACTCTAATTTTTTGACATTTGATAAGTAAAAACTATGCTTCAAAAACGCAGTGGCACTATTCGAATTCACTGTCAAAATAGTGAGAACCTGGAAGAAACGGTTCGTAAATGTAAAACATTTTCTGGTCGACGCGTCCTTGGCGGACCGCAATACAGAAATTGGTAGAAGAAATGGGGCTGTTGGGATAAGTTAGTGATTTGAAGAATAAAGCACCTGCGAATCGCTCAAAAATAACTGCTTCAAGACTTGGCTCTTAAGGCTTATAAATTTCATTTAACACAAAAACTCAACCCGGCTGATCATCAACAGTGTTGTGTATTTGTTGATTGGCTTATTCCTTTAAAAACGTTCTTTTTTTCAAGATACATTTAAGGAGTAAAATGCCATTTGATTCATGCTGATAAGTTTAATAGGTTCTAAGTGAGAGTGTCCTGCAGTTGAAAAAACGTGGTTTCGATAAAAATAGGATTAAAGTTTTTGTTCGTAAGGACTTACCGCTACCCCCTCTCCCCTCTTCTATACTTACTTATTGGTCTTACGGACCTTCGGGACTAAGTATATTATTTCTAAGAGTATTTTGTAACAAAATCGTTTTTTTGAAAATTTTTTAGAGCAACCTGACCTTAAAGGAAAAGTCTCCGGATCGTGTTATCTCTCGAAGAGGTGATTGCAATTGGCCACGAAGGTATTGTGATTTTACATCTTGTGACTTCTTCCTTTGGAGGCATGTGCAAGGTAAGATCTACGCCAACAATGCCCTGCGTCCACTATTCGGTCGGTAAAGATCGCCCAAAAGAGTCAGATATTCCAGCAACCATTGATCGGTATTGCACCACGCTTACTCTAGTAGATAATGCTCACATTAGATGCTACGAACGACCACCAAGCGGGTCGCACATTCGGGGAATGGGTGAATGGGTTCAAAGCGAGTTGGCCACCGAACCAGATTTTTACAAAGGAATTTTGTTCAGTTTACTTTTGGTTCAATGAGTATTTTAATAAACAAAATTTCGCTTTTGGAGTGATGATATTCCACAAGCCATTGTTGAGTTGCAGTTACAAAAACACCTGTTCATCACGTGGGCATCCGGGACTTGGGATATAGATAGCTCTTCTCCTTTCTTTGCTTTTTTTTTTGAGGAAAGCTTGTCGAAACCCTGTTTTATATAGTTTGATTTGCTTATTTGCTTTATAATTGGAATATAAATATAAGAGCTCTTCTGCTTTGAAAAACTTTTCATTTCGGAAATTTAACCTTAAAAATCACATTTTTTGTTCGATTTGCTTGATATTTGAAACATAAAGCTATGAACAGCTTTTCGTGCTTCCCCCGTGGAGGATGTTAATGTTGACGACCATTGGTTCCAACAAGACGACGCTACGTGTCATACAGCCAACCGAACAATCAAATTATTGAAGGAAGCTTTTGGTCACTGGACTACAAATTTTGTGGGGTGGGTTAAGTCGCTTGTCTACACAGCTAAACCCGAGACAATTGACGCATTTTTAGAGAATATTCGACACGTTATTGCTGACATACGACCCTCACTTCTGAAAAAAGTGTTCGAAAATTGCGCCTCCCGTCCGGAAGTCACTTGCCCAGAGTAATTTTAAAGGGAAAACAGCAAATCCTTCTCATTATAATAAAGCTAAATTCTTTGCCATAACATTTTATTATATTTATATATTATATATATTGATGGTTTTAGCGACCTTTCTTTTATTTTAAATTGAAAAAGTTTGCCCGCTTGAGGTCCGAATAAAAAAACAATGTTAGTAATGTTTCCTCCCGATATATTTCGGCTACTCTTCGGTAACCGTCTTCAAACAACCATAACAACAATCAATTATACATTATAAAATGAAATTTATACATTATAAAGTGAAATTTAAGAAGTAATAAAACGCATATACTTTAATGTTCTGGCAAGGAATTTAACTTGATTATAATTATACGGGTATGCTATTTCCAAATATTGATCATACGCCATGTCGCTCAGCCTCAAAGTGTTTGATAAAGATTAAAACTTGTAACTAAAATAAAAACATTTCCGTTTTATGTTTTATGTTATCGCTCAATACAGAGCAAAGACAACTTTTTAATAAAAATCGCGTGTTGGAATTTATTTTTAAATCGAATGAAAGCAAGCGTGCTCTCAAACGAACGCTTCAGTACGAATTTAAACTTTTGCAAATTTAAAATGAAATTTATTTTGCTACGATTTGCCATAATTTTGCTTGGCTGCGCAATTGCCACGCGCGCAGCAGAAGAAAAAAATTATAAATTTATTTTAGATGAAGTGTTTGCTGAAAAAGAGTCGGAAGATGTTGGCAAAATCAAGGTGGAACTGGTGAAAAGTGAAGAGGGCGTTGTAATTAATGGCCAAGCTGAACAACTTGTCGATTTAGATAACGAATGGAAGGTGAAAGATAATATTTTATTGCAAATTTGTGCAGTTTCTCAGACGCATATTAACCGCCTTCCGCTCCTTACGCCTTACAGGTAAAAATTGCATTTAAAAGTGCCGAGGATGGCAATCGCGAGTATAATTCACTGATGGCCTTACCACCGATGGGTGTTTGTGATTTTATGAAATTTTACTACCGCATGTATATTTATGAATCGTTGGTAAAATATTCGAATGCTCCTTCGCCTTATGTTTGTCCCGTTGTTAAGGATAACTACATTGTGAAAGATTACCCTTTGATTTCGGATAAATTTAAAAAATTTCTACGACCAGGCTACCATCAAATCGAAGCGAGCTTGTACAACGGGGATGAGGAGAAAATGAAGTATATTATTGAAGGTCATGTCGTAGAAGAGACGGAGAACTAAATAAATCAGTTGTGAACAACATTTTTAGAGCAATATTTACCAACTTTATGTTTTCAATTATTGAATTACGGGGAGAAATATATTTAATTTTATTCCCGCTGTGACCAGCGTTATATAAAGCGTGTTTTTAGGTATTTGGTTTTGAAAAACAAATAAAATGCTTAAAATCCAAAGCATGACTGACGCTCGGGTTAGTCTTCGTAGAGAATCGGGGCTTCACAAGAATTCACAACAAAAATAGGCCAATGATGTTAAATCGCGCTGTCTCGGAGGCCACACCACAGACAAACGACGTGACATCATTTATTAAAAGGGTCCATCTATCAATTGATTGTTTCGTAGGAGTAAAAGATCATTCACAACAACATCCTCCAATTCTAGCTTGAAAATATCATTACTTATGAGTCTATAGCCTTCCCCATTAATTGTAACATTATGGCCGGCTATATTTTCAAAGAAATATGAACCAATGCTCATATAGAGCAACAAACACTGACTTTTTGAGAATGTAAATGGTATCTCAACAATGGCTTGTGGATTATTATCACTCCAAATGCGACAATTTTGTTTGTTACGGTATCCATTACTTCAAATATAAGCTGAACATAATTTTTTCGCAAAAAACGGCATCCATTGCCGTCTCTTTTTGAGTCCATTTGCCGAACATGAGAGTTCTTGAGTAGGATTTTGTAAGCCCGCAAGCCAAGACAGTTCTGCAAAATCTCCCATAACGTAATTGTGCATATCTCCAATTGCCACGAGCGATGTTGAAAGCACTCATTCGGGTATTCTTCGATACTTTGCTCCACGGCAACAAAAGGTCTTCAGTGCGTACTGTATGGCTTCCCTGACGATGCAAAAAGCCAAAAATAATTTTTAAAACAAAACAACAAGCCCTTATCATTATAATAAATTTAAGTTCTTTGCCATAACATTAAATTATAAGCGTTTTATTTCTTCTCGAAAAACACGTGTCCAAAAAACACCCTTTATGTGAAAAGCTTGAGAGCTGTCTTCGGCCTATCAGAAGTCTTTATACCTTTAACAATCATATAAAATTTATGCTATTTCAATTTCGGATTAAATATTAATTCCCATGTCTGAAAAATGGTAAAAGTGGGATATACGAGTTGAAGTTTCCCGTTTTGGCTGATTTTTAGTACCGATTAGTAATTCGTCTGATGTGTACAGAAAACCAAATCTCACACTCTTAGATGCTTTTTTGACAAATTTATGACACAAAGTCGGAAATATGAAAAATCAGTCTTGCATACGCTATAGTTATCCGATGTGATCCTGCAAAGGGCGATCAAGTTTGATTGAAATATCTCATAACTTGAGGAACTAGTATGCATACACGATGTGTCCTAAAAATAACCGAACTTTATATTTAAATCCTACAACTCACAGTGCCATCTATTGAAAATTTGCAGCAAGAAAAAGATACATTCATCCTCTTTCTTTTCATGTAAGTCGGATGACAGATGTAAAAGTGACAGCCATTTCAATAAAACCAAAAGTGTGCTAATGGTTCAAAAATTAAATGGAACAAAGAGCATATATAAAATTTTGTGTCAAACTTGAAAAAAAAAAATTAATGAAAAAAGTTTATTGTGATGATTGTAAATATGAGTCGTACGCAAGTTCATACGTGATTTACACGATTTAAAAATGGTCGTGAGGATTTAAATGGCGACCCTAGAGCAGGACGTCCAGAAACTAGTAATCGTGCTGAACTGGTGGAAAAGTCCGTGAAATCATTGGTATCGATGCAAATTTTACTACGAGAATGTTGGCTGAGGAATTGAATACGAGTAAAAACACAATTTGGAGAATTTTAACTGAAGATTTGGGGAAAAGAAAGGTCTGTGCGCGATTTGTTCCATATGAATTAAATCACGACCAAAAAATCGCTCGAATTTTTAATGAAAAAGGGGATTTCTCTCATCGACCATCCTCCGTATTCGCCTGATCTATCACCGTGTGACTATTTTTTATTTCTGAAACTGAAAACCAAAATGAAGGGAGCATTTTATGATGATATCCCAGCCATTCAAGCAGCCGTAACCGAGGTACTGAAGAACATTTCGATAAATGACATAAAATAATCTATGCATGCGCTGGTTGATCGTTCCAAGCGTTGTGCTGAGTCAAATAGATGCTATTTTGAATAAATAATAACTTTCAAAGATAATATAATGTGTGTTTTATTTTATATCCAAAAAGTTCGGTTATTTTTGGGATACACCGTGTACAAACAGACGGACAGCCCGACATGCACGAACTCAACTCAACGAGTCATTCTGACCCAATTGGCATACATTTTGATGGGTCTATGTCTTCTTCTTCTGGTAAGTTGTATACCATTTCATGTACAAGAAAGGTATAATAAAAAAAATTTGCTCTAAGGTTTTTTTTCCATTTTTATTTAGTTTTATTTTTCATCCAGATATTTAAATTTATAGATTAAGCTATAAAAGGTTAAATGATAACGTCATAAAAGAACAATATTAATATTTTGATTTGATAATATATTTTTTTTTTATTTGTGTTTCACTTGACAACTCCCTGCGAAATCTCAAATGCATAAAATTTTTATAATTACTATTTATTGTATTAACATCAAGCAGCACATATTTCGCAAAACAATAAATTATTATATACACAAACACTCAAAGAAATTATTTATAGCAAAACAGGCACGTTTCGTGTGAGTTCTGCAGTACTTCAGCGGTGCGGATGCGATAAAATATTTCAGAAGGACGGCACGGTATTCCCTTTCACTTGAAAGGTATTGAAAGTAATAAAATTATTTACTCTCAGCATTATTATTTATTATTTCTATTGAAAATTAAAAAAAAAAATTGCTGGGTAATGTTGTGCTCGCGGATTAGCCGACTAGTTAGCATTTCACACTTCCATTCTGCAGGCCAGGGTTCGAGTCCTAGTTCGTCCAATATCCAAAATTATTGAAAATTAATTTTCTAATAGCGATCTCTTCTCGGCAGCACTCCTCCGAGTGCAGAAATCCATCAGCTGTTTGGAGGCGGCTTAGTATAAACTGTAGGTCCCTCCATTTGTTGGACAAATATCAAGACGCAAAAACCACAAATTGGAGCAGCAGCTCAACCGAACATCACTTCAGCGGTCACAAAGCGTCATTATATTTAAAAAATTATAAAAATATTACACGGCATATGACTCGCAGAGGAACCTAAGAAAAGCAAAAATTCAGACCAGACCTATTTCTAATGTGAAGACGTTATCAATCTTCGAATCTATCATTCCGTCCGATACACACTTTTTTATTCATCAGATTTTTTTTTTGTATAAAATCTTTGTTAATTGCCATAGATAGTGGATACAAAAATTGTCTGCCGTGGAGTAATTGTCCTGACTTAACTCACTCACCCACTCACTTTTGGTGGACGTGCTGGATAATCCAGCCTATGGTATCTATTACCTAGCTACATTTTCTATGCCATCATATTCTAAATCTATAAAATGGTATTTAGCTGCATGAGTACAAAGCACTAAGATCGGAAAGTGCGCAAACACCTGTACAAATTGGGCGGTAAGCTGCCAAGGCAGTGATCATAGACTTATGCATTTCCGCCAAAGGATAAAAAACATTCACTACAATATAGGTTGTAGCTTCTAAGTCTATATTTGAATTCCTACTGTTCAGGGTGATCGTGAGACCAGCTTTTAGCTCTTATGACTCCAAACAAATTTTCAATTTCATTCTAGTTTAAATGATTGTATACTTTTTCTTGGGCACAGAACTGCAGCTATTTGCGTTACAAAGCTGGATTGGACAGAAATGTAAATTTTGATTCGGCCAGAACTGAACCCATGGCCCTGTTACTCCCTTAGTCGGCTGTACCGAGTTTTTTCTCTACGTCGCATATTATAGCTTTTTACTACCCACCCCTTCGACCTAAGATATTTTTGAAGAAGATTCCCACAGGCTCGTCGCAGTCAAAAGCATACTCGTTAATAAATTGTGCAAGCATTATTCGTATTATTTCCATAGAGTAACCCTACTGAAATCACTCTAAATTGTCACCTCGCTTCAGATCAACCCATTATAAAGAGTACCGAAATTTCTGAAAACCTTAAAAAAAATTACTATACATATGTACGTTTTAAAGAAAATAATGAGACTCTTTTCGAAGTCTCCGCAAGTCAGTTCATCTACGCAGAGATATGAGATCAGCTAATTGCAGTTTTAAGCACTGAAGGAGATCATACTCCTCCTCCATGCTGTGCTGATGGTTTTTCAAGACCAACCAAAATAAGCTCAGTGAATTTTCCTAAGAGTACCTAAGAGAGCACAACGAGATTGATAGTGTGCGATGTAGGAATCGCAGTTTATTGTCAATATTAGATACTGCAGAGGTGTTTTATAAACTCTTGCTACATAATTAATAGTTTGGAGTGAGAAATACTCAAGGAAAATAACTATGCAATCGCAATAGAGAAGTTGAATGTAAGTTAAAAGTACCATAAACAAATAAATTGGGTACTGTCATTCTGAAGGCCAGAGTTCGAGTCCTGGCTCCACTAGCATTCAACACTATACAAATTTAATTAATGTTAAGCCCTCCGATGGTATTACTGACGTGAAATAAAAAGGTCCTCATCAAAAACCAACATCGGAGGCGGCTTAGTATAAGCTGTTGGGCCCTCCATTTGTTGGAGAAATATCAAGACGAAAATATCACAAATTATAGGAGAAGCTCGGCCGAAAATCGCTCCAGCGGTTACAAGGCGCCAATTATAATAAATAAAGTCATTTCTAACACGCAACTCCCGCTGAGAACACTTGAAAACCATATGAGCTACCATATATTTTATAGATCTGATAGAGTTTTCTTTATCAAATTTTTATACTAACAGTACTTTTGCATATAAAAAGACCTTCCGTTAAAAGTTTACTCATTGTGTGAAGATTTCTTGTTGATTAACCATGAAAGTGCATAATTTTGCGTTAAACATTTTGTGGTTTTTAGCAGCGGTGACCTGGGTAAGAAGTTCGCCGCAAGGACGTAGTACCTCTGTGACAACGGTGAGTATTGGAAAAAAAAATTGTTTGAAAAATAAAAAAAATGGATATGTTGTATAGCAATCGCGCTGAAAATTTATGTTTTTTATTTCCAGACCTCGCTAATTATAAAACATGGTTACCCAGTAGAGGAACACAAAGTTCAAACCTCAGATGGTTACATTCTTACGATGCATCGCATCCCTTACTCACCCAATTTGAATAATAATGACGAAGAGCGTCCAGTTGCATTTCTTATGCATGGCTTACTTTGCTCCTCCAGTGATTGGGTACTCGGTGGTCCTGGGCGTGGTCTCGCCTATATACTATCTGAAGCTGGTTTTGATGTTTGGATGGGCAATGCACGCGGCACTACATATTGTAAGAAACACGCTAGCAAGTCCGCACTTTTGCAGCCATTCTGGAATTTTAGTTGGCATGAAATCGGCATTTACGATTTACCTGCCATGATTGATTATACACTTTATATGACTGGTGCCGAAGATCTTCGTTATATCGCACACTCGCAGGGCACTACTGCCTACCTCGTATTGAACTCGATGATTCCACGTTTCAAGAATCGTATACGCTCAGCGCATCTGCTGGCGCCCGTTGCATATGTGGAAAACATGAAAGGGCCACTTCCCAAATTGGCTGGTCCCGTTTTGGGACAACCGAATGCGTTTGTTGAGGTCTTTGGTAGTGCCGAATTTCTGCCAAACACAAAAGGTATGGAGTTACTTGGCGCTGTGGCGTGCCGTGATGAATCACATGTGCAAGTGATATGTTCGAATGTAATTTTCTTGATCGGTGGCTGGAATTCACCACACTTGAATGAAGTAAGTTTAGTGCGCGTGAAACCAAGTAAATTAGAAAAATATTCACTACTTCTTTTATTCCAGTCTATGCTCCCCGAAATCATGGCCACCACACCCGCTGGTTGTTCAATCAACCAAATACAACATTACCTACAAGAATACAATTCTGGAGAGTTCCGACAGTTTGACTATGGTAAATCGCGTAATAAGAAAACCTATGGTAGCAAAAAGCCAACGGAGTACAATTTGGAAGCCATCGACGTGCCAACATATCTCTATTATAGCGATAATGATAATTTTGTCAGTTTAGTGGATGTAGTGCGATTGATTTACGGTCTAAAACCAGAGACGTTGAAACGTGCTTACAGATTACCCTATCCAAAATGGAATCATATAGATTTCTTGTGGGGCATAGATGTTGAAACGATTGTTTATGATGTTGTAATGGAAGATATTGCCAATTCGTAAATATGTTTGTAATTTTGACCACCTGCCAGTAGGATATCTTTATTTAATATTTATACGAAATCGTCTGACAAATAGCTTAATGTTTTTATATAAGATTCTATATAAATAAATTAAATTATAGCTCTTAGAAATATTGATAGCTAGGAACGTAAATTTGAGAAGTCAGTTTATGATGAGCCATACTCAGCAGGCGCAGTATGGACAAATTTGTTTAAAGTCCATCGTATCTCTGGAGCCAGTTTTTCTTCGAAAAGTTTGATCATAGGGTTCCATCTAAAGGTCTAACCCTGCCATACGAGCAAAGCGATGATCCGGTATTCTCATTCTCATGCTTACTGAGAGCACGGGAGAATAAATTCTGCAACCAACCCTCCCATCAAGCTTCGAACCGTCTGTGAAGATGGCATTGCTTCCTGGTCGGGGGCGTTGATATTTTCCCACTCGCGTCTGTTTGGGATTCTCGTAGAGAAAATATTATCGAAGCATACACTGGCGGTGGTGTAGTCCAGCTCCTTCGGCACTTCTGCAGAAGATAATTTTTTTGTATGTCCTATACTGGAGGAGGTTAAGCAGAGTTAGCAGCGCTTTCAATGCTTCAGTTATCAGGATGAACGCCCATCGTTGAACTCTCTCTAATTTGCTCCTTAAGGGGACTTTTTCGAGTGTTGGTCACCAGACGGTGATCCCAGTGCACGTTACTCGGTCTTAGACATCATCGGTTCCAATCGCTGTTTGCAGGCGTTAAGTGCAGTTATAGCTTTCCTTGATCTTTCTGCCGTGTTCCGGCTACAGTTTAGTTTGCTATCTAAGATTATGCCAAGGTATTTGACTTCGGGAAAGAGGGTATTCCCGACGCCCTTTAGTTTGGGTGGTTTAAAGGCATGCGGCTGTAAATAACACCATCTCGGTTTTATCAGGGTTCATGTCCAGCCCGCTATCTCTGCACCATCTCTCAACTATATAAAGAGCATTTTTGGAGTAAGTCCAGTTTCCAACTTGTTAGTATAAAAGTCATGAAATTAATTAGGCACATTTAAGCCCAAATTAGTGACATCAACCATATTTTGGTTGCGAGTATGTGGGGAGGAATACTCTCTCTTCGGCAAAAGCCATTTCTCACCGAACAGTGCTACTTTCAACTAAATTCTGATTAATCACAAACAGCACACGCGCGAAATAAATTGTGAAGCATCAATTTATTTGCTTATATCCGCTTCAACTAGTAGGATGTAGACCTTTTTGGGAGTAATAAATTAAAATTACGAAAATAACACCGCAACAACACCGTTGCAAATGTAGAAGCGGTCTATAATGAAAACATAGCGCACACTTCAAAATATTATCGGACGTTAATCACTTAATTGAGGATTTTTTGATAAGCTCGAGTCGTAATTTGTGGGGATTACTTGAAGATATTGTGCTCCCAGGGGGTATGAAAAAATCTTGCGCAAGTCTATATAAACCATAAGCAATCCAAATGGTTCACCTAAAATATGCGAATTTTGATGTTAGGCAGTTCTTCGGTCTTTGTGCTTCTGGGCGTTTAAAATTTTGTCAATGACGGCGAACGGCCGTTCTCAGACTGTCTAACTAAAAAAGAAATTTCCGCTACTTCCGCCAAGTACTCACTCAGTTCTTTTGTGTTTATACAAGGTGAACGCATCGAAGTTATCCCATGGAACGGCATACCGTTACCACCAGTGATGGTTGCAACCTCATTATGCATCACATACCGTGCTCTCCGAAGTGTGAGCCAACTGGAAAATGCCCAGTCGCCCAGTCGCCTTACTCATGCATGGCATGTTGAGCTCTTCCAGCGGTTGGATACTAATGGTTCCCAATAAAGCACTCGGTTGTATACTCATTGATGCTGAATATGATGTTTGGTTGGGCAATGCGCCACATACTGCCACGTACTGGTAGACCTTTTGGAATTTCAGTTGGCATGAAATCGGCATTTAAGATGTGCCAGCAATGATCGATTATTTGTTCGACCATACAGGTAATGCACAGTTGCAATATATCTGTCATTCGCAAGGCACTACTGTGTATTTGGATATGGTGTCGGAGAAACCAAAATATAATGATTAAATTAAATCAGCACATCTATTGGGGCCCGCCGCTTATAGGGGCAACATGAAGAGTCCGCTAACGCGTGCCTTTGCACCAATTCTGGGTCAACCCAATGCCTTGGTTGGGTTTGTAGGCTCAATGGAGCTCATGCCTAGTAATAAATTCAAACAGCACTTGGGCATTGAGATGTGTCGTGTGTCCTCACCTTTTGTTGAATTGTGCGCTATCGAGATTTTCTTAATTGGCGGTTTCGATTCCGAACTTTCAGATTAATTTTCATTTTGTAATTTGGTTTTATTATTACATACAGGAATGGATTGAACACATTAAAGCCACGTTGCCAACCGGGGCTTCGGTTAGTCAAAATCTGGACTTCTGCCAAGAACATAATCCGAAGAAATTCCGTAAATTCAATTACAGCGTCTTACGACAGTCTGTATCCAAACAAATTATAAGGTAAAGGAAGGTCCTTTAAAATACTGTAAAATTAATTATTTCTCTTTGTATTTTATTTTTTCACAGCTTAAAAACGCCTAAACGCAGGTCTTGCTCTACTACGGCACAAACGACTGTATGTGTGACGTAAGCGACGTTCGAAAATTACGTAATGAATTGCCGTATATGAAATTGGACTACCTCGTGCCATTTCCGAAGTGGGCATATTTATACTTTATATTGGGCAAAGAAGCAAAGAAACATGATGATTAATGATAATGAAGAAATATAAATATGTTATTGGCTGCTTTGAACAATTTCTAACGCTCACTTCTGTGTTTTGAATTCTTTCAGCGAGAAAACAAACGCTTTCCAAGAAATGCTTGGGATTTTCAGCTCACGTTGATGAATTGTAAAAAGAAGGCGAGGACAGTCTTTGGACCAGTTATGTGAGCCGCATCGTGAGACCTTAGTAATAGCAGCACAATTATTTAAAGACTAGATATTCTAACAGACTAAACTCGCATTTGTTCCCACTCGACTCCGATATTTCCAACGTACTCATGTAACTTATATATAAAAATCTAATTTCCCTTAGTAAAGATCTGGTGTCCTCCAAAAGTTACCACTCGATTGTTTCTTTGGTTGCTAAAAATTCTGAGGACCAGAGACTGAGCTATTCGGATAAAGCGATTTACTCTACTCCCCGAGAAGCGGCCCAGAAACTGATCTATTTCAAAAAATTTAATTTATTTAATTTATTAAGGTTCGATTTAGTTGACATTCGGTACCCGATTTCGTACAAATTTCTTTTTTGCTTAATATACAATATTAGGAATATCTTCTCAACGGGGAGTGGACCAAGGAACCTAGTCGGAAAAATCGTATTTTTGGTTAGATTTACTTGAAAATTGGTACATAGGTGACTTTATGCTTTTTTCCCTGGAAGTGGACCAGGGACTGAGCTATTGGAAGATTTTGTGCTTTTCGTTCGATTTACTTGAAATTCGGTACATTGATGGCATTTTTCTTAGATTAATAGGAAGAAGATAAGAAGAACTTTCCATCCGTGAATTGGACCAGGGACTGGCTAATTAGGAAAAATCGCACTTACGAGAAGTCGATCGATCTATTTGGCAAAAATTTACATATGTGTTTATGGCTCGTTTTTCTTAAATTTTAGGAGAATATGCTGAAATGGTGAAAAAATTTGAGCAGCGAAGAGGTAACTACCTACCTTTCTTCGGGATTCACACATATTCGCTAACGATCTGCATCAACACACGACTTGCAGTAAAAAAAATAACAGAGGAACGTAATAGAATCAACAATTCTGACCGGATCTTTTAAAGATGAATACATTTTCATTCCTTATCCAATCCTTATCACTCCATCCGATACTTTCTTTTAATTCAAGCGACTGCAGTTCCCCCGTTCGACTAGCATTTTCAATCACTATCAATATAACTCAGGGTGAATCTATGGAATTGTCAGATCAACATGTGATCGGTTAAGCATTAAAGAATTTATCGAATTATCCAACGAGCTGGTTGCATCGCTAGATACCTGAGTATCTAGGGCTCTGCACGAATCATCTCGCTTCCTGGATCTCTTGTTAGATGATCAACAACGACGATTGACGATTATTATGCTCTAAAACGCCTAGAAAATAATTTATAATAGTTTTTTAGGTGATGGCGTAAATACATAGTTCGATCGATAAACAGCCATGAAGCGATTTTCGGTCGAGCTCCTCCTACAATTAGTGGTTTGCGTCTTGATATTTTTCCAACAAATGTCATAAATACACTCGGAGGGGTTAACATGCCCTTCCGAGGGGCGATTATAAAATGTATCTTAATTTTTCATTCAAATTAATTTTCTATAATTTTTGGATGTTGGTCGGACCAGGTAACGAACCTAGGCTTTCTGAATGGTAGTAGCAGTACAATAGCAATACATTCGCTTAAAAGCTGTTAAATAAAACCGTTAATATTTTTAATGCATTAATAGTCCTACACGAAGCTCAATACATACGCCGCTCTTTCAAAGTCTTTCATTTGTATAGTTATTAGCCTCACTCCCCTGGGAAAAAAGTAATAAATCAGAGTACGCTCATTAACATTATGTAATAAGTAATCATCCCTTTATGCATTACATAAGCAATATTTGTATGTAAACACCTGCATCACAACAGGTGTAAACTATTGATTAGTCGTAGGTCTCATTGTATTTGTATGTATATAATTGGTGCTGGACAACTGTTAAAGCTATTTTCGGCCTTGTTCCTTCTCAAAATTGGTGGTTGATGTGTTTACCAATAAATTAAAGGATGCACAGCTAATGAATTTTTATAATTATTTCAGAACTATACTCCGAGAGGTTGGCATTCCCTGCCGAGAGGCAACCATAACATAAATTAACAATCCCCTGCGGGTTTGGGGTTCAAGAATTTCCCCGCAGTAAGGCGCGCCTGCCGTAAGAGGCGACTAAAATCCAATAGTTCCCGCGTCAGTCGGGTCTTAATACCGGAACGACCCGGATTTTTATCCGACCAAGGGCTATCACTCCCGCAAAATTCCCCAAAAAGTACTTTGAGGAATATTTTGCGGTTACAACAATAACAACAACAACTAACAAAAATTTAATTTTCTAAAGTTTTGAATATTGATTTGAACAGAATACGAGCCCATGACCCTCCGCACGATATTATTGCGCTACTAACCGCTCCTCTACTGCGGAAGTGTCATTATGGACACGTATTTAATTGCGTAACCCACGGTTACCAAACAAAAAAGCCACAACATTTGCCTTTCTGTCTTCATTATCTATTGCGTACGAGGGAAGTAGGCAATATTTTGCTATTGAATTCAAAGTTGTTGAGGAAAGGAAAACCAATCAACTCTAAGCAGTGGAAAATTCAAAATATTCACAAGAAAAAAAATATCTTCATAATCCAAATAATAATTCTAAAATCAAAATGAAGCATCAACAAGTTGTTGTTGACTATTGGAACATGATAAAAACGTCGTTTACTTGTTTATTGTTAGCCTTTTCTGGTTATATACTAATCAAGTAAGACTTTGTTGAAATATTTTATACATAAATAAGCTATTTACCAATTTTTACTTTTAGAATGGTGCAAACTATATTTTGGTTGCCGAGTTATTTGCAAAAGAATCAAAAACGTTTAGAAGAATTAGCCGCGCAATACTCTTTAGACCTAGATGGTGATAAAAGTGTTGCTGACGAGTTAAAAGCGCAGTTAGACGAAGCTGTAGAAGGGAAACAACCATTATTGGCTGAGAAGAGCGAAGAAGATAAGATATACAGCGCAGATACAAAGCCGAAAGTGGAGGCGGAGCCTAAAAAACAAAAATAAATGCTTTCAAGTTTTATATTGTCATTTAGTATTACTTTATTTATGTGTTATGTGTGTATAGATGTGTTTCTATATAAATATATTTTATTCTTTTATAGCACAGCTAAGCAACTATGTCATATCTACTATAACAGGCATATCTTCGGGATCCTCGTCAAGCAACCCCTCGAACTCCCACTGTAAAGTCTTCAGCAGTTTTCTTCCAAGTCTATCAGCGCTTACACTCAAACCACCCAAATTCAAATTAATCAATAGTGAACGTACATCCTTGTAAACCGTATTATATTCACCTGGTTCCATTAGCTCTTCTGGCAGATGCGGCAATTGCTGCATTAAAGCTTCTGAGTATTTCATATAAAGCATTTTGTAATTCAGCACTGCTTGCTCTGAATGTGACAGCAAATGTAAGATATTTCGCCAATGTGCCAAAGACTCCACCGAGTACCCAACTAGATAAAAGACAAATGCCAATTGTTCCTCCTCAATGAAAGCTTCCGAACTATGAAATTTGTCTACAAGTTTCTCAATTGATTGTACACAATCCATATTGTGTTCTGTCACTTCTGCTGGCGTGGCGTTGTGTGGCACACGACTTGGTAACTCTGTGAATCTTGGCGCAGTCCCCTCTACTGGTTTTAAATTTGGTAGCAAATCACTTTCATTTACAATAGATTTATTACCCTTTTGCTGCAAGTTGTTTATATATAATGGGCCACGTGGTCGATCCTCATCCGTACAGGACTGCAGCTCCACGTTAGTACGTATAGCACCTAACGTCGGTCTACAACGCTCTACTGTACCTTCAGTTATTTTATCAGTTAAAAGTTTCCACTTATTATAAAATCTATAATCGTAAGGTGCAAGAAAACTGTCGAATTCTTTAAGATTATCACGTATGCGCTTCTTTTCCAATTCACGATCGTCACACTGACTCTCTTGCATTTCTTCATCACGTTGGTTCCATTCACGTACCACAATCTCTTCGCTTTTGAAGAAATGTACGAAACCCACACGGGGAGCAACATCACCATATGGGCCACACGAAGCACACCAGATGTAGTGTGGTCCAGGTGCTATCATTTTTACTCCACGAAATTTTTCACCAATTGTATAGTTGCACAAATCGATCCCAAATTCAGTACCAACTGGTGCTCCCGTTATAACCAAAACAGCGCCGGTGGCAAAGAGTTTTTTTGCCAACTCAGGGTCCATTTCCATGGCAGATTCATCCACGTTCATCTTTACGTAGTTTGTTGTGAATTTTTATGTTTGCAAATTAAACGTTGTATTATTAATACAAAAATCTTCGCAATTCCAAACAAAATCAGCTGTTTTAGTTGTTTATATACAATGAAAAAAAATGGCTCCCACATGATTGGATCAAGTGTTACCATATTGCTCGATAATGTTTATGAACCGATTACTAGTTCAGATATGAGTACTTCACTAAGGAAATTACAACCAATTTCTTTTTTGTTCAATTTTAAAACAAATTAATAACTTGACAATTAAATACATTAAACAAGTATAGAAAAGGAGAAATTACTAAGTTATATACTCTAACATTTTCTCTATAAATTCCATTTTAAATATTAAGCCTGGTCACCATTATATAATAGACCCGAAAAGACGTCGAAAAATTTGTTATTAGTAAAATTGTTTTTCCTACGCAAACTTAATCTCAAAACATTTAGGAATTTTTTTCAAAATATTTCCTATTTTAATTGATCAGTGAGTGTAGTAAGGATAACCTTCGAGCTAGCTCACCAGCGAACTGCTGCGGATCAAACACCTAACCTCTGACAACAACGGGACCCCCCAAAAAATAAAGCATTTTCTTTACAATTACGGAATTTTAGATATATTTGCATTTAATATTTTATAAAACAAAGTAAAATGAATATAATTATGTAAAATATCGTATCTAAAGGTTTAAATAATATAAATAACTCAGCTCAGCTTAGCTATTTAAATATTCTAATTCGCATTACTCATATACATACATATGTACTATGTAAACATATCATACAGCATATGTTTATATGTATGTTTTACTTCTTGATTGATTATATAATATGTACGTAATTATGAATTTACGTATATAATCATGATTAAAATACGCGTGCGGATACGCGCATCTACATAAAATACGCATATATTTATATGTTTGTATAAGCCTACGATAAAATGTTAAACATTTAGCCATAGCACAGAATCGTCAAGTAATGTAAAACTAAAACAAAAAATGTATTAATCAATTTCCGTACGCTTTGCTACAATTTTTATAAGGTTTTTTGTTTTTATTATTAATTGATTTTTAATCAAAATAAGAACTCGAATTTTTGGATGTATAATAAATATGTGTATGTATGTATAATATATTTTTGTAAAATTATTTAATTTACTTCATAAAATCAGTTATGCTTTTCCAATATACATATATGTATGTATACATACATATATATCTGTTAACAATACTTTTAGTAGGTAAGCTTAAATAATTTTTCTTTAAATTCACTTTGCAATTATTATCAGTATTTTAAGATTCGCATTAATGCGCTTTAAATCAAATTAATTATTTAATTATTTCCTCCAACGATTTTAATCTGCCAGTAAATATATAAATTCGGTTATGCTGCTTTGCAGTATTCAAAATATATATATATGTAAGTAGAACAGAAATATAGTATAACATTTGGAGTATAAGCAGAGATAAAAATAATTTTCCAAGCTTTTTCCATGAGCAAATTCATGTGCAAACTTGTTAATGGGCCACCGATTAAGCATAGAAGACTATTATTTGGTTTCCACGATGTTCAAACAAAAAATTTTTGGTTTTATGTATGTGTGTAACTGTTTAAGTATTTATGTTGGAATCACTTGTTTCAACGACCAATTCATGGGTCTAAAGTACGTAAAGGAAGACGATTGTAGGTATTAGCAAGATTAACATTAGCCACCGACAACAGTTCGGGACGTTCGGCCAGTGTGTCGGAGAGAGCGCGGAATAAAATGTCTGCAAATGTAAATTGCAAATGAGAATTAAAATAAATATTGAGTCATTATAAAACTTACGGAGCACTTTTTTCTGCAAATCAGTTGGTATAACACCAAGATTGCCTTCACGTTCCAAAAAGTCGGTTAATTTCTGCAATTCGTGTTGAGCTTCATCAGAGCCATGCGCTAAAGATTGTGTGAACATGATCTATAAAATACATTTAAGAAAACAAAAAGTAATTATTTACAGTTTTAAAATTAAAAAAAAAAGAAAATTAGCGAACCTTTGCCAATTTATAGAGTATGTCTTCCAATGTATATTCATTATACAAGAATTGAGATATTTTAGCCCTTTCGCCGTTCTCATCATAATCATTTAAATCTGAAATAAGAATTATTAAAAATATTACAAAGATTGATTTTCTTCGATGAAATAATGCTTTAATAATGTTTTGCTATATTTTAAAGTTTGTTTTCTTCGTTATATTTAATTTAATTTCATTAAATTTCTTTAATTTTATTTTGATTCATATTTTATTTTATTTAAATTTAAATTTTAAATTTTTTTTTTATTTATTCTTAATATTTTTAAACTATTATCAATTTTTTTTAATTTAATTTTTTTATTTTTTGTTTTGTTTATTTTTTTATTGGCTTTCTTACTTTTACAGTTTCACTTTATTCAATTTAATTTAATTCTAATTTATTTAATTTTACTTTACTTTAATATGTTTTATTTTACTTTATTTTATTTTATTTTATTATTTTTTGTTTTATTTTATTTTATATTATTTTATTTTATTTTATTTTATTTTATTTTATTTTATTTTATTTTATTTTATTTTATTTTATTTTATTTTATTTTATTTTATTTTATTTTATTTTATTTTATTTTATTTTATTTTATTTTATTTTATCTTATTTTATATTAGTTTATGTTATTAAATTTTTTTATTTTATTTTATTTTGTTTGTCAAATTTTTTGATTACAATTCATTTTTTTATAATAATTTTTTAGTTTTTTAAATGGGCTTATTATATCTTATTTTTATCCTTTTTAAGTTTTTCAGTTTTTCTTCATTTGATTTTATTTTATATTAATTATATATTTATTTCATTTTATTTTATTTAGTTTTATTTAATTTTTTATATTTTGTTTTATTTGATTTTATTTTAGGTTATATTATTATTAATAATATATTTTTTGCATTGATTTTATTTTTTTGTATTTTATTTAATTCTTTTTTTTGCATTTTATTTTCTTTTGTTTTAATTTGTAATATTTTTTAAATGCTTTTTTTTTTAATTTTTATCATGGTTACCGTCATTTCCAAGTGCTTGTAATTTATGCCAAACAGATATATTTTCGACTGGCTTTATTGCACTCTGTTTATTTGCCTGCATTAGCCGCAAATAGGGGAGTAATGATTTCTCATTTATTGAAGCGGCTGTTGATGGTGCTATTGGTTTGCTTTGCGGGCTGTCGAACATTTTCTACAATTGCATATGTAACAAAATATTTTACAATTCATATGCCATAAATCAGTACAGTTGTAATAAAATTGTTACCTTATCTATATTGATATTCAGACCGGCCTCAGGGAAGATACGATTTGTATATGACTGCTGCAGATACTCAATGCCAATACGTACTTCTCTTAGAAATGCCAAAGCATTTTCACGCGACATCTAGTGGTATATATTCATTTTCAAAATGATTTAAGAATTTCATTTTTTAATCCGCACTCACCACACCCCGATCGATTAGTTCTTCAACGGCCCGTGCTACGCCAGCCTCATCGCCTGTCCAAAAGACGTACTGAGCCATATCAAAGGGTGTCAACTGACCATTGTGACGTTTGAGAATACTCTCTACAGTCTGTTGATAATAAAAAAGTACAAACTTACATAAGTGGTATTTTAGCTACATATTGATGGAATTAAATTAAGAATTGTTACATGAACATGTATATGAGCTGTGGTAAAATATATTTCATTGAGTGAGATGTGAGTTCCTTTAACAAATAAGATAGAATGGAATATTTTACTTGGTTTCCGAAAGCTTAAGATTTCTACGCCGTTGCAAAATTAAATTTTATTTTCCTTCTTCAAACGCAATTTAGGTAAAATCCAGTTTGAGGTTATGTAAGAGGATTACGATATTAGAAGATGGTATACACGTGAGTGTCTATTGAGCCTTCATATACTTTCAGCTATGATTACTATAAATTCCGGCGATCAGCCAAGATCACGTGGAATGCCAATTAAGATCTATTGCTAAACAGATCTAATCTCTGAAATAACAGTCCACTACAGCTTGCTTTTTGCTTTGCCTATTTGTCAAAGTTGACCGACTTAAATTTTTTAAATTTAATTTTCTTTCTAAATTTTCCAATCAATCAATTCAAGTCGGCTTTCTGAGCCCAAGATCTTATTAACTACAATGATTTATAACATTTTTTACGAAAATAATTCTTGGCAAACAATTCCTTTATGCGAAAACTCATAGGAATAAAAATCGATTTTTACTTTGTGTGCCAGCCAAATGTTGGTTTGGATTTATTTAATTAAGCTGCCAACTATTCCAAGGATAATATAAATGAATTATGTTTGAATCGTGTCAATATATACATGCATACATATATTAATATGTTAGGCATTCACGAATATAGATATGTACTTAAATACATACATATGCAATGCCCAGTAAACACAACTATTGCGCCTCGAGCTCGAGACGAACTCGTTTTCTTTAATAGAATTATCGAGTCGATAAATCGCGACGATAAATCGGCGAATAACAAGTCGAATTCAACTGGAACCTAATTTAATTTATGCATTTTAGGTGAAAAAAAAGGAACCGGAAATTTGTGCATTTTTTCAAGCCTATCAGTACTCCTTGATATTGACAATCTCTCGCTATGTCAGAGTGGGCAGAGATAGTCAAGCTCTCCGTGTGTATTTCTGACTTGAAATAAAGGCTCCTCATAAAAATCCTTTCGAAGGCGACTTAGTATAAACTGAAGGTCTCTCCATTTGTTGGTAAAATATCAAGTCAAAACAATTGAAGGAGGAGCTCAACCGAAAATCGCTTCAGCGGTTACAAAGTGATGAGCGGATGTATCTGTAATAAACCCTTTGGGAAAAATTCTAAGTGGCTAAGTAAGAAATAAATTCTGAGCTAAAGCTTTCTGCGGAAGACTCATCTAGATTTCACAAAGGTAGCTTCTTTTCCATAGAAAACCCGGATGCATCAAGCAACCCGGGGAATTATCCCACTGACATTATTCGATTGCACAGTTCACTTAAAAGATACAGACGCGAACTGCGTGCAGATGTAACTGCGGGGCTAAGTTCGTTCGGACATTTGGCCTTGTTTTCTTTAGTGTTTTTTTCCTGTTTGTGGCATAATTGTGTATGCGAGTATGTGAATGAAGTATGAACTGAACTACTACAAGTCATCATAAGAACCTGTTGTGGCTTTATGGGCACCGAACGTCGTTGTGCCGTTGATTTAATTTGCTCAATCAATTTATCTGATGGATTCGTTGGCGTACTTTCTTGCCCATTCGTAATGACGGTCTCGACGTCAAGTGGTAGTATATCTGATTCGCCGACATTTGTATCTTTGCCAGCGCCAGCGCTTTGGACGGATGCTGATTGTGTATTGGTGTTGCTAATGGTGGTGGTGGTGGTTGTTGTTGTTATTGGCATAACACTAGTAGTGGAAGTAGATGTGACGGCGGTCGAGGCTTTTGTTGTAGTCGTTGTGGTGGTGGTAGGAAGCACTTCCGGATTTTGACCGAATGCCAAGCGTGCGGCACCATAGAAAGGCTGCATTATACACACACATATACATAGATGTATTTATAGATTTCTACACATACATACAAATTTACAAAATTTTATGACATTTTGAAGCATACTTATTTGCGGAAATTGCTTTGCTGGCATTTTACTTTACTCTCGCACGCGCGCACACACACACACACACACACAGACACACTGACTTGTACATAACGACGGCAGCCTAAAATATCACATCAAACCACAGCATTTACCTTGATAGCAGATGGTGCTGGCGGACTGCCACCGGCTGGCACAATGGCACCAAATTCTGCCGCCTGCTGTTGACCTGCGCTGCCGCCACCCTCTGCTAGTGTTTTTCCACCGTTGTCGTGTTGTAGCGTAGGTGGCCGATGCATACCACCACCCTCGACGACGGACTGCTGATCGCCACGATTCTCGGGCACAGCCACAGCTGGTGCTGGTGCTAGCTCCGTTGTTGTTGTTGCAATTTTTTCCAGTTTAGTTGTAATCGCCGGCATTTGCTCCAATTGACGCTCCAACTCTTGTGATTCACTTAACGGCTCAGCACTAACGGTTTTGCCCACGCCGATATCTGGCCCGAATGGTGGCTGTTCGAATTGCGCTGGCATTTGATCGGTACCGTCTGGGTTTTCATTGCCATAATGATCTCTTAAGTGCTCCAATTCTACGACATCGGCATCGGACTGGGCGGATTGGTTTGAGGAAAACCAATTTAAATTGATTTAATTAAATTAATATGCATTTACATATATACAATATGTACATAAAAATGTGTTAATTTTAATTTGATTGTATAATTTATGGCAAAAGTGTTATTTGAGCGCTCACCTGGATTTCTAGACCACTCTTTTTGAATCTGTGTGCTCCCTCGCCATACGCTGAAGTGCCTGTGAAAGAGAAAATATCACTAGTTTATCTGCGATATGGAACTTCGAAAGCAGAATCCTTCATAAAGGAAAGAGCTACGCTAAAGCAAAGGTGGCGTCGTATCGGATTCCGGACGAGTTAGAAAAATGAGCTTCTGGAAACTCTTTTGTGGGCTCGTTTCGGGTAAATTTTCGGAAGTCGTTTTCTCCTCGTCCTTTTTCTCGTCGTCTTCTTTTGTTTGCATTTCATTTTTGTATTTAGAGCGATTAAATATAATATTTGCGCTCCTTTATATGACCGCTGTTGTAAGTGTCACAAGGACCTACACGTGTCGGTCCTTATCCCACCTATCGCACTCCTTGAAAAGCCTTTAATCATTGGAGAACACTAAACAGACGGGCAGAAAATATTCCCGAATTATAAAACGTTAGAACTGTCGTGAGAGCGCCAACAAACAAGCTCTAGGCGAAATTAATACCCTTATTCGGTACACACAATACACATGCTCTCTTGGAGCACTAATCGACAACTCGGTATAAGAGAACTGTGGTACCCTTACCAACGAAATACTTGGATTTTGACAAGGCCATAAATAGAGCTGGTAGAATGATGATTGCCGGTACCATAGTTGAGAGAAAAAATATGGTCTAACTGGCAATGTTACGGTCCAACGCAAATTGGGAAGTATACTGAGAGTTAAAGGGAGAAGCATTTACTGAAACAAAAAGAGAGAGGTCGAAATGTGTGAGTGTGAAGAACTTGAGAAGTTCGCCAACTGAGAGTAGGTCTTTTTGACCGATGTAACTTGATTTATGCTCAGTTTGGTTTGCCATTTCATAACCGGAACGACGTTCCGTTCGCACAACGCATCGTTCAATATTTGGTCGACAGAATTGCCCAGTAGAGTCGGTAATTCGAGCAATCATAGATCGGTTTCGCACCATGCTTACTATAGTGGATAATGGGTTGGAGCTATGCTCATCCATTGTGTGGAAAATTTCGCGGAAGAATCTTGACTTACAGGCTAACAAAATCAAACTCGTGCGAATTCAAGCCGAACGACCATCAAGCGTGTTCTACGTTCTGTAAATGGTTCGAAAAGGATTTGGCCAGCAACTCCAATTTTCACAAGAAAATTTTATTCAGCGATGAAGGTCACTTTTGGTCGAATGAGTACGTTTATAAACAACACTGTGGCATTTGGAGTGATGATAATCCCCAATCCATTGTTGAGACGCCTTTTCATCCTCAAAAAGTCTATGCGCAGAAGGAATCACTGGTCCATACTCCTTCAAAAATGAAGCCGACCATAACGTCAATGGAGAACGCTATAGAGTGCTGATTAGAGACTTTTTCGTACCTGTATGGAGGGTTGGTGATGTCGACGACCGTTGGTTCTAACAAGTGAACTCTGTGGCGTGACCTCCAAAGTCGTGATGAACAATTTTTTATGGAGTTATGCGTTATGCCCGAAACGATTGACACCTTCGCAGAAGGAATATTCGACCCGTCATTGCTGATATAAGACTCCAAAGAGTGGTCTAAAATTAGATCTCTCGGCTGGTTTTGTACGAGCCAGCCGAGGCGGTCACTTAAACGAAAACCCTTATTTTCAAAATAAACTAAAATTCTTGGTCATAACAGTAAATACGTTGTGATTCTTCTTAAAGTACACTTGTCGAAAAAACACCCTTTACTTGAAAATTTGTACTTACCAAATAAAAATGGTATGTTTATTGTTGGATATGCATAAAGTCCAATGACACCGCTAAGGAACCAAATCACTGCGTGCAACCGATGCAAAAGCATTTTCGTTCGTTAATTTTTGTGTTTGGTTTAAACTAGAAAGAAAAGAAATATGCAAGGGAAATATATTTAAGATTATTTTATTGATAAATTCAGCAACTAAATTTCGATTAAATAATAAATTTTTCCACACTTTAATTAATTTAACGTTTTTCGCTTTCTCTGGACATTTTTAGATTGTTCTGCGAAAGCCAAATTCTTTCAGAAAAATACCGGGCCTTCAATGTAGGTCCCTACCACAGTAAAATACTCATGCCAACGCATAATTCAATCATCCCAATATTTTTTTAAACGTATTTTCTGAAATCACCTACAGTTCTCGCCGTGCCTCGTCTCATATTCCTTCTATCCACTGCTAAAAGGTGGCGCGAGTTGAGTGCTGTTTTGAGTTTTGGAAGGCGAAAAAAGTCAAGCGAATATGGTGTTCGATGGTAACTGTTGCTTAGCCACAGATTCGTACACACTGATAGGCTTATGAGGCTTGTGAGATGCTACACTATCCACCAATTTACTCAAAATGGAATAATAAAAAAACGGGCCAAAGGCAACCTCTTTAAAACTCAATACAAAAATTTTATCTTCCATAAACTGTGTCCACGATTCAAACGTTTTTGTATGTGTTTTACACAAATATCGGAAGACCCATTATAATTTATGGAAGATTAGTATGGGTAGAATGCGCGATAAGGACTACCACAAAATTAGCGTTGACTGCTAGCGGCCGAAATATATAATAAATGAGTCTGAAAAATAAATACAAGAACTCAGAAAAAAAGTACTATGCGACCTAGAAACTGGAACCTTCTGCTAAATGGATGCTACCAACTCTTTCCCTTGCAAAATCGAATGAGTGGAAGGAAGGTAAGTCAATCAGTAACCCTGAAGATACGAGTATCCATATCTATTAGGTCTAGTAACGTACATAGTAAGCAATCCACTGTTTTTTTATGAAATCGAAGGCTTTTATTCTTACTTTTCGTGCCCAGCCTTATTCAAATGGTTCCAAATGGCCTTCCACTCCGTGAAGCATCTTTTACATCAAAATTATCGGAATGAAAGCAAAATTGTGCATGATTGACTGTAACAGTAGCAGGACCATAAACAGTATTCTCATTGGAAACCACTGGGTTTGAGTTTTCGCCCTTATCCGATAAAAACTGTAAAATATTGTTGCGAAAATGCGAGGCGAATTTCAGATGAAAGAGAGAAGCCGATAACTAGTACGATAAAACAAGAACCTTCCATAGCGAACAATTCGATGCTTCTACGCTTTCGTCTGCGAGCAGCCGACTGCTATATAAAGGCGACACTCAGCTGCAAGTCAAGCAGTGACAAAGCAAATTGGTTGGCGTTAACATCAGTGAAGACGTAAAGTGAACGCGTTGGGAATTACATTTAAGTAGAGGAAATTGTGAAAGTTGATGTTAGTGATTATAAATAGTAAAGTGCAGTATAATTGAATTGTGAATTACTGAGAAAATAAAGGACATTAGATAGAATCTTTATAACGAAAGAAACTGCAAATTAAGTTGGCGAGTTTTTATTTAACAATCCAGAGATCGTACCCGAAGTATCTAGAAAATAATCGAGGTTGATTTAGTAAAATCGTAACAATATAGCTTATTTTCTCTTTGCTAATGTCCATCTCTAACGCACGCTCAGGCAAAACTGAATCAACCAATCGTAAAACTTTCAGAAAAGCTTTTTTAGTACGAAATGTCATCTTTCTAACGCCATCTAGTGGAACTCGATCGGACTTTTGCAACGCGGGATACAGATAAATAACGCCATCTATTGGAAAAATAATGGATTTCCTTTTACTACACCGATATAATGAGGCATCTAAGTGCGAGGCCGGCATAAAAGCAGGATTTCTTTATAACCACATCAAAGTAGCTTCAAACCCAAAGACTTCTCTACTATTTTCTTTCCCAGCAGAGATTGTGGGCTTTACTGTTTATGCAAAATGAGAAAATCCATTGAGTAAATCCGAATGCGTTGTTATTGGTTTTAGCAAAATCGAACTTAGTATTCTTGTGGGTATATTTACTTATTTATTGTTAGTAGGGGAATTTACACCTAAGATACCATCTCCATAAGCTAGTTAAAGAGAAATCAACTGAGTGTTGGTCTTAGAAAGAAGATGACGGAACGCTAGAGCACTATGAATTTCTGTCCTTCAGCCGATTGAGGCGTCATATCTTTCACGGTTCTGCCAACTTCAGCCTTACCTAGGTGGGTGAATTTAAAAGTAACGAATTTTCATCAAAACCATTATAGGGTTAAGTGGGGAAACACAGTGAGTCTACTCAATATCTTTCCATGCCAACAAATTCTGCCTTTTCAACCAGCCACCTCACCCAAATTTAAATGTCGAGGCACAGCTATCAAAATTTTCATTCTAGGAACTATGCCAATGCCGCCATATAACTCATTCCATCATCTACGGTATTCACAAACGGATGTAGACAACGTGCATGCTTCTGCGCCATATAGTAGGACGGGAACGATGAGGGGCCATGTAGAGTTTGGTTTTCATTCGTGGAGAGAGGACTTTACTTTTCAATTGCCTACTCAATCAAAATTAATTCCTCTTGGCACGAGTTGAATTTCAATGCTGATGTTATTATTGGCTCCAGGGTAGACAAAGTTATTTACGGCCTCGAAGTTATGACTGTCAACAATGAATGCTTGCTTGATGACAGGAGATATTTCGTCTTGTGTGGAGACAAGCTGAAGTGAGAAGGCGAATCCCCTACGATAATGCGTAGGGTTTGGGACCAACCATGGAATTAGTATTTATGTATTTCTAAAATGAAATACCACAAATTTTGCCATGGTCATGGTATGAAGACAACTTTACTTTCTTAGTTTAAGTATGTTCGCCCCTCGATTGAGAATGTCAATCCCTTCGATGGTATTTCTGGCAGGAAACAAAATTCTGAAAACTCCATCGGCCCTTCAGAGGTGGCTACAAACTGGTTTCCCAACTGCAATCATGCTAACAAAATTCAATAATTCAAGAAATTTTCCGCGGCTACTAAGCTCCAATAACTCTCAGAACAGTCGGATCTTCATACACAGATTTTTATTCGACCAAGAAAGGACTGTTCCCCATTCTTTCAAAGTAATAAATTGAAAAGCCAGTTGCCGGCATTTTTCGGATATTTTTTTATATGGCGTAGCCGGGGTTTTGAGAGGTGGAGAGGTTAAAGTTCCTCGTAAGGAAAACACGCGAAGAGTCGTAGAGTTAAGCGTCTTTTTTCAAAAATGTGTGGTTTAACAATCGGTTCATCGATTGTTCGGAACGGTTTTCGCTCTATGAACCTGAGGAGATTGCTCTCATATTCTTTTGTGCTCATTCATACCTTCTCCCCTTTTTATCGAACAAAGTTTATCAATGAATACGTGCACATGTATGTAGATATGTATGTACACACATGTTTGTATTTAAATAATTTCTTACAAATGAAAATTAATAGCAAAATTGACATTAGTCGCTTATAAAACAGCTAATCCTTGCAACAAACAGTATTCTGAGAATTCAACGACCATCATCGATTGCATTAAACCAGTTAAAACTTACACAAGCGCACGTAACAATGGCCATATGTATGTGGCTAAGTATGTAGTATGTGTAGTGTCACTGCATGGGAAAAATACGAGTTCATCTTCCATCTGATTGTCAGCATGCAAACAATTGATATTTTCAACACGGTGAGATTCTACGAACTGCCAATTGTCAAACTATGCACCAGTCAGACTATGCATCAGTTCTATACTAGTTGTATACTAGTTCATATACGCCTATTGAATTTCTGCTTCTCTTAAACAAAAAAATTGCCTGCAGGGCCGAGTCGAGAGTCTAAACGTGCTACAACGATGACTTGTTATTGATGCTATTGCGGGTCGCTTGCCCCGCTTAGATAGATTGATTTGAATGGAGGATACGCACCGCGACCAGTGGTCTATTGTGCCTTCCGGTTTCTTCATATTATTTCAACGAGTAGCCACGCCCATAATAAATATATATATATATCTGAGGGCTTGACATTCCCTGCTAGCCTCGTTAAGGAGCAGGTAAGATCAGTCACCCCTGCGGGGTAGAGGGTCAAGAATTTTTCTCCTTAAAGCATACCTCCAAAGGTACCTCCGTCAGTCGGGTCTTTATACCGGAACGGCCCGAATTTTTATCCGAACAAGGAATATAACTCCCGCAACAATCCCCAAAAACCTACTTTGGGGAATGTTTTACAGGCTACAACAACAGCAACAGTAGGTAAGATCACTCTAAATCGTCGAGGTCATGTAACGGGAAGTCCAGGAAATGAACTGTTTCGACTGATTTTAAGTCATCTGATTTTAGGTGCCTTGCAAAAAGGAGGTTAGCGTCGCGCGGGAACTTATTGTATGCAAAACATATGTACGTTGGACATATCGGGGTCAAGTCTGCATAGATAGAAATTTAGTCGAGAGCAATATGCGAATCTTAGTTGTGCCAACGACAACCTCTAACCACTCGGCTATCGTGACGATGATGCGTTAAACGTTGTTTTGGCCGCGTAAGAGAGCGTAACCCACTATGGATTTCAGCCGTAGCGTGACAAAAACACACGATAGTGGAAATTATTATTATTCCCATTACCGGTGAGCTGCCATAAAAATATCCAACTGGTTTGATTTCATCTTTAAAATATTGGTATTTTACTAGAACCTTGGTATACTAATTTGGCTTTTCCCTGCAGGGGTATTTTAGTGGGACTAGCGGGTGCATGGGCACTCGTACTACTCGGAACACATTATGCGCTTCAGTGTCTAAAAATAGCTTGAAAACACCAACAAATCGATATTCCACAACAAAAGCAAATATGCAAAAATGTATAGTTAAGAAAAACAGTGCCAACAACGTGACATGTTGTGGAGGAATGGTGGTAGTCACACAAAATACCAACACGTACATACTTACTTATCTATGTATGTAAGACTTTAGGTTTGTGTGTGTGTGTAGAAGAATATTATAAACCAGCTTCATAACAAAGAGCTTCATTGCGCAATGGTGTTGGAAAGGATGGCGTGGATATGGCGTGGGTGGAGATTTACAATAAAAGAAACACAGCACAGCCATTACAATTACGTTGACATCTCAAAGTAGCTTTAATGCACTTTGCATAATTTTTATTGCATTATGTATACTGTTACATACTAATGTATGTACGTACATTCAACGTTTCATACATATGTACAATGGCCTATTATTTATTGGTGTATCCATTTCGAAAGAGCCATTTGCCCTTGAAACTTAAGCATTACGTTCTTATGAAAGTGCAACACAAAGTGCAGCTTATGCAGTAAACGGTTCCAGCAAGACTTCCGCCATTAAGTCATATACACACATACATGCACCAGGAAGAAAAATTTTATATTCTTCAAGAAGTCAATAAAAATTCAAACAGAATTTGTCGTTAAGCCTAAATATATGCTACTATTTTAAGTAGCAAACTGATGAATGTTTGCATGTGTAAGGGCCAATCGTTGCAGGTCGAGCGGCGGATATCTTATAGGGATCAGTACTTAAAGCCTACACACAAAAAGTGGCCAAAAAGAATCCTTATAAAAATATCCTTTAATGGCCTCTTTAAAATACGCGGCTCGGCCATGGCTGCGATTTGTTTACGACGTGCCTCAAATTTCGCATTAATTTATTAATTGCGTATAAGCACTCAAAAATTTTGCTTTTCAGTTTTATTTCTAACAACTATCTAATTTACTTGTCACTCTTCATATTTATAATCATTTTTCAGTTCACTTCACTATTTTCCTAACTACATACCACTCAAGTTTATGTCAACACGTCCGCTCTGCTCGAAAGTAAGAAAAACTTTGATTACTATTATCCTAACCAAAACAGTTTTCACTGCCAACTGCTGTCCATAAAGCTCTCATAGCAGTGTAGAAAGCTTTAAAGCTCTAATTGAACCTTTGCCAAATATTTTACACAGTAACTTATATTTGTTCTCTTATTAATACAAATAAAAAGTTTTTTTTTTTTTACAGCGCATAAATTTTATTTTTCTTTACACTATTGATTTGTTTAAAGTAAATCAACTGCAGCCAGGGAATGGTTCTGTGCGATTTTTACGTAGCACAAATTGTATCTTTCGATTCATATCCTCATTATAGATTGCTTTACATTTCTCGAAGTTAACACGGCGACGAACCTGTAACCGTAATGTGTAATTAAATATATAACTCAATTATGTACTTAAATGTATGTATGTACTAACCTGGAATGGTTTTTCATAAAAGCGTGTCCGCCGGTATTGATCGAATATTTCCTCCTTTCCCAAAATACGATTTAACATACGACAGGCTTCTTCCACATTGTTCTTTTGTACCAACACGGTACGTGCAATAAATTGTGCATGTTTCATGTTTATTTATATTTTTTTTTTTCAAAACGGAGTGAATTTTATATTACAACACAAGAAACTTGATGTGCCCACAATATAAACAGCTGATCAAACCTCCCCCACAAGTAGGAGAATATTGACGGGAAGAGGGCTCTGAAATCAGTGATGTTGAAAGCCATTGTATGTATTGTAATTATTGATTTGAGTGCATGATTTGTAATCAAGTTATGAATATTATTTCTTCGAAAAGAGTTTAATTTAAAAGTAAGCTCGTATATAGCTTATTAGTTATAATTGAAATTTAGCTTGAACTTCTTTATCGACTGCTAAGTCGGTAAGCAGAGTGGTTTTAACGATATATTTCTTATCGCTCATTAGGGATGTAAGATATTCGAAGCACTCAGTAATTTTAGTAACGAGTAATCTCATAGAATGAAGTTTGAAAGACGCTCACAGCTATAATAACTTTTCTTTCGGACAGTGTTTTTTTTTCAACCTAAATTTTGCTCGGTGATTCCATGAAACTGATTTCTAGGATTTTGTCTAATTATTGTGACACATTTCCACTTATTTCCGGAAATTGAAATTCACTTTGTGATATCGTTTGTGAGTACATGTTTCTGAAGACTTTCGAAAACAGTTAAGTTATTATTCTATTCTAGAAAATTTCGATCGAATTCTTTCAAAAAGGATATAAAACGAAATGTTATATGTAAACGATATCTAAATACTTTATGAAGTTCACTTAGTGGCGCAAAAAATAGAAGCAGTCCCTTTATACTTAACGGTAAATCAATATGGCCGAGAGTTAAAAACCAATGCGTAGCGTAAAGCCAGATTTTAAAATTCCCTTTCATAAATAAAAGAGATTACATTTTCGTTGAAATCATAATTGTCAGCTTTCATAGTGTGGTTTGGCTTCAATTCTCTAAAAAGTTGGTAAATGTCCTGCTTACTATTATCACATATATAAATATTTTTTGTACAATTATTTTCAATATGTTACCTGGTCCTCCCGTTAGATGTCCTCGGTGTCTGTCCATCTTTGCTGTGAACTCAAACCTCCGATTTTGGAGGCTGTAAAATTTTAAAAACTCTGCATGTACCCTTAACCTTTGAATAAGAGTTTTACTGTTTCACAATATACCGATTAGTAATCGGTGCACCCATACAATGCAGCGATAAGAAGTTATCGATGTTGGGACAGTATTACCGACACTCACGTTTCTATTCTAGAAAATTCATGCGTCAGACATCGGTACTGTTCACATTTCCTCAGTAGAAAATCAAAAGGGCACTCATTTGAAGTTTCGTCTCGTCGGAGGTTTATCTTGATCGCAGTGTGACCACGTTTCTATTGTGAGTTTAAAGAAAATATTGTGTATATTATTCTGGCGTTTATATTACAAAAAGTACAAGAAACGAGCTGAGCAGAAACACAAGATATAGAAAGAGTATTTACAAACTAAAGCACTAGTTTTCCTTAAGTTCAATACACTAGAGCACAGGTAATTAAATCTCAAAAGCTTTGTGTAAATTGCGTTGTTAGTTTTGCCTAACTCAGTGGGTTAAATGTAGTTTTCAAGGGTTTATTTAATATTAGATCGTTTGCACTGAAACTTTCAAATCGCAATGCACGCAAATTTACGTATCATTTTATATAATGGAGAATGCTGCAATAATAGTGCAGTGATGAAAATATGGCGTCGATAGGTCAATAGTCCGGAAGTCATGTATATTACATATTGAACTTCGCTTTATAAAATTAAATTATCTTTGAAATTGAATGGAAAATAGATAGTAACGAGCTGGCGTCTAAAATTTGGCAAAAATCTGTATATAGATGTACATGATTTTGTAGCTAGACGGAGGCGGTGACGAAGTTAAAATCGATATCCCTGCAGCAGATTGCATTAATAATCGGTAGTTTAACGTTCGTAACTCGTCGATTTTGTTCGTGTAGTTTTGCTGAATGTACCTAATATTACTCGCTACTTCACAATGCATTTTGTCCCCTCTAATAGAAAACTAAAAATCATTTTCTAGGTAGACTCATTTTTCTGGATATTTCGTAATTGTATTGTCTGCAAATTGAACTTTTGTTTGATAGAAAAAATTTCGCGTAGGTGTATGTAAATAACGGGTGCCATTTTTAAACTCACATTCACTTTTGTATCTACCTGCTGACGATAAAACAACAAAATTATGGAACGTTGTTGTTAGGTAGAAATGAAAAGAAAGTTCTATTGTATCTCGACACTTGGTTGCCGATCCACAAATTTTCAATTTTAGCATTTTTGGCAGTATTGATGAGGAAGTGACGAGGAATACAACAGATAAATTGAAAAGAATTGAATAATTCTGAAATCAGCTGAATTAACGTAAGATTTTTATGTTTATTGCTTTTGAAGGTGCAGTGACTTGTTCATGTAACTATTGCGAAAATGTACCTAATATGTGGAGATTTTTTATATACCATCATAGCTGTAATAATATATCAGTGAACTTATAACATCAGAATTTTACATCACTTGTTCGTCAGTACATACTGGTTTGTTGATGTAAAAAAAATGACTGCTTTTGGAGGAATGGAATAAATTTCTTAAAAAAAAAAGAAGAAAAAAACTTTATATTTCGTTTACATATCTGCTCACTTCGTTTATTTCTTCTCTACATATTTCAGGTCGTACGTTTTCGTCTTTTTTCCATTGAGGGAGCTTTGAGTCTGCAAATTTTTCGATTCTTAGCACTATACAGAAATAGAAGAATATGGTTAAGGAAACTGGTTATTATGACCTCTTGGGTGTAAAACCCGACGCCAGTGCTGATGAGCTGAAAAAAGCCTACAGAAAGTTAGCGTTAAAATACCATCCGGACAAAAACCCAAATGAGGGTGAACGTTTCAAGGCAATTTCACAGGCGTATGAGGTGCTGTCAGATCGTGAGAAGCGACAGGTTTACGATGAAGGCGGCGAAGCGGCGATCAAGAAAGGCGGTGCTGACACAGGTGACTTCCGTAGTCCAATGGATTTCTTTGAGAAATTCTTTGGGGCTGGTTTCGGCGGCGGTGGCCGACGTCGTGAACGTCGTGGCAAGGATGTTGTACATCAAATGGCTGTACAGCTGGAAGAATTGTACAATGGTGCTACACGTAAATTGGCTCTACAGAAGAATGTGATTTGCGACAAGTGTGAAGGTCGTGGTGGTAAAAAGGGAGCCATTGAGAAATGTATGCAGTGCCGTGGTAGTGGTGTAGAAACCCGTGTACAACAAATTGGACCTGGTTTAGTGCAGCACACCGAACAAGTTTGTCGTAAATGTATGGGAACTGGTGAGATGATCTCTGAGAAAGATCGTTGCAAACAATGTAATGGCCGCAAAACAGTAAGGGAACGTAAAGTATTGGAAGTGCATATAGAGAAAGGCATGCGAGATGGTCAGAAGATTGTATTCAACGGCGAAGGTGATCACGAACCTGATTCACAACCTGGTGATATTATAATTTTGTTAGATGAGAAAGAGCATTCAACATTTGTTCATGCTGGCACTGATTTAATGATGAAAATGCCAATTCAATTGGTAGAAGCCCTCTGTGGCTTCGAGCGAGTTATTAAGACACTCGATGATCGTGATCTTGTCATTCGTTCTAAACCTGGTGAGGTTGTCAAACATGAGATGACAAAGTGCGTCTTGGAAGAAGGCATGCCACTTTACAAAAACCCACTAGAGAAAGGTCGTTTGATCATACAGTTCGAAGTTATCTTCCCCTCCGCAATTCCGTTGGCAGTGATTCCCACACTTGAGCAATGCTTGCCACCAAGGCCCGAAGTAGCTATACCACTTGATGCTGAGACAGTCGAATTGGTAGGTTTTTGTTTAGAAAATCATCAAAAAATTATACTTTATTTAATTTTTCATAATTTCAGGAGGAATTTGATCCTAAGCAGCGTCGTCAACAACAACATCAACGCATGGCTTATGAGGAGGATGAACGTGGCTATGAGCAAGGACCTAGAATAGAACAATGCTCGTCGAGTTAAGCGCATACCATCAACATCTTCAGCTAACAAATTATGTTTAATCGTTTAAATAATCCTAAAAATAAGCCGTGAACACACAAGCACTAGATAAATTTTAACAAGCTAAACAACCATGTCATCACCTAAGAAACAACAACAAATATAACAGCTAAATACAAAATTAATTTACGAGAGCGTTTAGCGTAGAATATCATTCAAGTTTCCTCGATTATGTCGCTATGCGTAATGAACGATGTTTCGTTTTGGACAGCAACATTCGCCTAGCATCAAATTCATAGAACGAGAATATCGCAAATATGAAACATTTTGGAATTTCCCTATTCGGAAATATCTCGACGCAGTGTCTCTTAAAACGAAGCGCATACTACTAAGAGCTATACAATCTCACTTTTTAGAATACTATATAGAAATTCAAAAGGAACTAATTTAAATGGTTACATTAACGGCAAATATACTATAATAAAAAAATAAATATAGGCACGTCTTTTATTTATTTAGGGAGTTTTGTATAATACTTATCAACTATCCAAGTGGAAGATTTTATCGGCCAAGAGAATGTAAAATGCATTTGCATATTTCGGGGTTCGGGCAACAATTGGTTAAACAAAATTGTCTTGAAAGCCAATTTCAAGTATCAGCATACATACATCAGTTGTTTTTTCCATTTTTTTATTGTCTTTTTTGAAGAAGTTTTTCATTTTTGTCCACTGAATGATTGGTATCTGTTATTTGGTGTGCTGCTAAATTCGAAAGAAGGAACAAAGGCAAACTACGTAGATGTCTTGGTTTCAAATATCGATGGTGGTCGTAAACAAATGATAATTTTTGTTTTAATTTATGTATTTTATTTTTTTATTATTACATGTACATATGTCTGTACAAATTTTTGTACAGCAAATTATTTAAAACATTAATAGGTCTTAACACGTTAAAATAAAGGAAAATAATAAAATAATCTAACAATTTTTTACACGAAATTTCTCAATGCGGTCACTACACCCAAACCAAATAGAAGTTTATCTTCGACAACCTTCCAACTTTTCTCTTGTGTTTCGGAAACGCGTTCCAATGCCTCGATTACTTCATCTGAATCCAATAGATCAATACCGTATACACGTAGGAAGACACTCAAATAAGCTTGCGCTAACTCGTAATTAATGCGGGATTCAAACATATACTCAATGGTTTTTAGAAATTCGACCATTATGCGATAGGAACCACCAGCGGTGGGATGCAAGGATTTAATTTCAAAATCAATCATTGATGGCCCAAGTTGCTTGAGATGATCTACACATATTTCGTATTGCATACCATCTGCAGCCTCATGCAACAGTTTGCCGAAATTGGTTAGTGTGCTGAGGCCACCAGCACCAGGTTGCAAGACGCGGGAGCCATCATTATCATCTGCATTGCCCAGGGTCTGGCCAATATCGAATTTCACGTCTAAACCCGCTACAGTTGGTAGGAAGAACGGTGCTTGTTTCGGTGCTTTGGGCGGTGCTTTAGGCTTATTTCTCTTTTTTATTATTTCGAGATCGAGAAGATTTTGCCAACGCGACGCTGCGGCGCCAGAGAGTGTAATTAATTCACTATCCAGCTGTAATGGTGACTCATAAGCTGTGTTAATTTCTGGTCCCAATTCGCCGTCACTCATGTATTCGTCGTCATCATCATCAGAATCGGCAGAACCATTCAGTTTTGTTTTCTCCATAAGATCCGCAACGTCCATCTCATCGCTAGCACTAATTGGCAAACCAACGAACGGAGGTGCACTATATGGATTGATGGAGCGTAGAGTTATTTGGTTGAATAACATCTTATTAGCCCATAAATATATGCCCAGATAGTTGACATGAGCTGTTGCTAAGAAGTCACCACTCGGTGACATAGTCAGGGATACACATGGCCGGTCCACTTTGAAATGGTCAATCATGTAGGATGATGGTATATCCCATACTTTAATAGTGGAATCCATACTAGCGGTAAGAAGCCAACGACTATCCGGACTGAAAGTCATATCCGTTATTTTGGCAATGTGACCTTCAAATTTACGCACCACAACGCGCGTATCCACATCCACAATGTGTATGGAGAAGTTGACTAATGCCACGGCGAGCATGGCACTTTCACGATGTAAACGCAATAGAGATATGCCTTCCGTAAATTTCAGGCACTTGATGTAATTGCTTACTGTAATCATCAAAAATTTGCAATAATACATATTTATTAAAATCTTAAGAATTATTATTATACCTTTCTCTTTAAATGGCCAAAATTTTAGTAAGCCCTCACCGCAACCGGAAATAACAAACTGATTTAGTATATCTGATACCACACCGCGTACTGCAGTTTTGTGCGCCGGCGCACCATAACTTGCACGATGGATGCCACTTTGAATGTTGAAGCGCTCTAAATCGCCACTAGAATAGCCTGTAGGAGAAAAATTATGAAATGAAGTGCACCTAAAGGACAGCTAAGAAGGGTCTGTACCAATAATTACGAAGTTGCAACAATGAGTCAATGTTACGCAAGTCGTAATAGCATTGAAGTCCGTCCGATTTTTGTTTTGGAACTGCATTGGCACTAATCGATGTTCCCCCATACGATTTTTATGAAACGACCATGTAGTCGTCTGAATGATACCTTCATGAATAGCTGCTATATTATCCCATTCGCGCTCACGTGTCGTCTCGCTCGTAAACTCGATGATTGGAGGCATGCGCTGCGAGTCCTCCTCGAAGCGATCTAACAGACGTAAGATTTATTAAAAAAAAAAAACTCGTGTAATCGTAATAAAATTACCACTTACTTTTCTTTTTCGAAACCCTTCTATTATAACTAGCTTTGCCCATACTTCTATTGAAGGATTCAGTAACTGTGCTGAATACACGTAAAGCACTGTCTTCGCCGGCAGAGAGAATCATCGTGCCACTATTGCCATGATATCGTATACACAACGGCGGTCCAGTGTGACCTTCTCTTATTCGTAGCATACGTGCGCCGTTATCAGGCATATCAAAAATCCATAATTTCATCGAGTTATCTGGCGAGGTAGTGAAAAGTAACGGCTCATTGTGGAAGCAAATGGCAGTGCTAACTATGTCCTCATGAGCTTGTAGTTGACCAGCAATCTTTGTACGAAATGAATATTATAGTCACTTATATATGTATATAAATATTATCATTTAAATTACCTTCCGGTCTTCTAGGTTCCAGAATGCTACATGACCATTGGTGCAAGCAGTTACCATAATTGGTGGTCCATCTGTTCTGAATGTAATCTGTGAAACTGGACCCCAATCTTGCTTGAATTTCATAAGAACTTCATCAAACTTGAGGTTCAACACAACAATAGTACCATCTTGGTGTCCTACAGCCACAACATCAAGCGCTGGCGACGGCTGTATGCTAGTAACTTTGCTGCCCTCACCAGCAAAAGTGTACACCAGACGATTTTCTTTGATATTCCATATTTTCAGCATGCCTTGTTGTGAGCCTAACACAATTTTGTTTAGGTAAGCAGGTGGATGTGTCAATGCAGTTATCAAAAATTCCTCGGCATTGAACTGTAATTCCAAATATACCTCCTCAGTGGCAATGTCCCAGACGCGTAGTACATTCGCCTCATCAACGGCAATTAAATGGCCACCGAAAGGTAGTAGCAAATGCACATTTGCAGTATGGCCACGAAACACGTGCCGCTGATGTTTACCGGCGCGCCAAGCATAAATACAACGATTGCTAGCCGTGTACGTATGTATACGATCCATAGCCAAAGCTGTAATTTCATCTGGATGCACAGGGCCGACATGAACCAAACGAAAATGACTGGCAGTGTACACTTGAAAGGAACGACCAATGCAAGTAGTGATTAATGTGTCCTTACGGCGACGCACATAACGAATTGCGGCTGGAACTTTGTTGCTAACATAACCCAATGCACGATTTCGACGAAAAATAACACTACTATTAATTAAACCATCATTTATTGTGCCTTTCGACACATTTTGTCCCGTGTTGGTCATTTTTATACCGTATTTCGCTTTTAATTCACAAATGAAATGTTTACTAGTTTTTAGTTGCAAATTTCATCAACATGTGCTCCGATAAGCCGTAAATCGATAGTAATTTGAAAGTGATAAAAGATAATCGATAACTGCTTGGGAATATTTTCTTGTGATGCGGCTGAAAATTGAATGACACTTGGAAAGCGAGTTTGGAAACAAGTTTTGTAGACGGCTCAAGGATGTTGGCACTGACTTTTTTTGAGTATTTTCGTTGACATATATATATGAGAGATTTTTTCACATTTATATAAGGAAATCGGGTCGGTAATGGTGGGTTGCCACATTGAAAATTTGAATTGTGCAAGTTAAAAAAAAAAACCTATTTAACAGGATTTTGACAGGAAAAGCAAGAAATAAAAGCATTAACAGTAAGAAATCAATCAAGAATCGCTGAAGGCCATTATTCACGTTTAAAAATATTAGAAGTAATAAAGGGACGGAATTTAAGCTCATTTTTAAAGCTGTGTGATATTCTAGCCTAGTTGATACTGGGGAAAATTGTATAGGAAATTCATTTGAAAAGTTTATGTTTTTTTAATAACAACATACAAATGCCATTCTGAATATTTGAACATACGTATCAAGCAAATATGACAACTGTACCTCGCTATGCTTTCCCTTTCCCCCTGCGGGTTAGAGGCTCAAGAATTTATCAAGACGTAAGGCATGCCTGTCGTCAGAGACGACTAAAATCCAATAGTATCAGTAACAGTTGGGTCTTTATGCCGGAACGACACGAATTTTTATCCGGCGTAGGACCCTCACTCCTGCAACATTCCCTAAAAACTACTTTGGGGAATATTTATGCGGTTACGAAAACAACAATATGCTTCCTCTCTGGTTCGAATCCGTCGATTACCTCGATGAATAACAACAGTAACAGTATCACCTGTGTCTTAGAGGTTCAAGAATTTACCTGTGGTAAGGCATGTCCCTAAAACCAATTCGAGGAATATTTTGTGGTTACAAATACAACAACAGCAACAGCACAAAAACAGTCGGATGAGAGTTTTTCAAGAAGTTTTACGGAAAATTTGGTTTCGATGTGTTTTCGTTTGACAAGTTTTAAAGGAAAACCCACTATTTGCCAAGAAAACATATTTATTTAGTATTTATTATAGCTATATAAAATTAATTTAAATAAAAAAATTAATTAAATTTTCCAATTGCGGTTGCCCCTCGGATGCTTTTCTGTTATGGAATAAAAGCTTCTCATAAAAAACCATCAGCCGTTTGAAGGAGGCTTAGTATAAACCGTACCTTCATGAACCTTAATCTATTTGTTGGGAAAAACATCAAGACGCAAAACTACAAATTGGAGGAGGAGCTTTGCCGAAAATCGCATATGTTAAAAGACGCCTGTATTAATAATGTATTTGTTCTGCCATTTCTCTGTTACCTATTTTTCATAAGTTTTTCAATTTTAACGTTGCCGTAGTTAGTACCTTTGAATATTTGATTGTTTAAGTTGCAGTTTCCCTTGACATATTCTCCAGTAAAATATTAATGTACAAGCATACATCATGAGGTGTCACCTTGTCTAAATTCATTCATTTAGTATCTAGCGGCTCAGGGAGTTCCTTCCTGAGCCTGACAGAGATTTTGATGTAGCTTATCGTTGGTCGATGGTGATGGTTCATACAAAAATACGTTCCGATCTTGAAACTTTATGAAAGTCGCAGTTCTCTTATGCCGGGTTGTTGATGAGTATTCTCGTAAAGCAGTCGAAGTAAAAAATCAGTTCATTATACATCGTTGGTGCAGCTTTTTGAAGTCGAACCTTCCTTGTGTTTGTTGATGTGCCCTCTTTGCTGCACAGGGTGGGTGCATATCTTTGCTACTTAAAGTTAGTTATACGTGTCGCTGTTGGGTCATCGGAGCGTATCAACCTCAAGAATACCAAAGACATGTTCAAGCAAGTTGTGGTATTTTCGATCTGGAAACAGCCAAGTGGTTTAATAAATTTTCTTGTCTAGAATACAGGCAATCATATTTCCAGCCCCGGCGAAGTTAATCAGCCTCCAGGCATTTAAGGATGCTTCGTCGTGGAAACTTAATTTTCCGCCAGTTGTGCCGAAGATATTGTCTTTGCCGATCTTGGCGTTAAAGTCTTCTAGCAAAGCACACTTTTGGTATAGTGGTGGGAACAGAGCTTATAAATTAGCTCTAAGCGCTCATAAATGCCATCCCTGGATTTCCGTTAAGAGCATCGTAGGTGCAAACTAGCGATATTTCGGAGAGCTACGCTTTGATCCGGATTATGGTTAGATGTTCCTCTACCGGGATGAATACCATGACATTCAATCTCTTTTTCACTACCAAACAGACGCCAAATTGGCGCGCATTACATATGACCGCTTTAGCCGAGTGGTTGGCATTGCGTAAAGACATTCGGAAGGCTCGGCTTCAAAACCCGGTGCCACCAACACCCTAAAGTTATTGAAAATGAATTTAAATACAAATAAAGTTAAATTTTCTAATTGAGGTTGCCCCTTGGCAGGGAATGTCCACCTCTCCGAGTGTATTTCGGACATGAAACAAAGGTTCCTCCAACATCAGCCGTTCGGAGGAAAAACATCAAGACGCATACCACAAATTAGAGGATGAGCTCGGCCGAAAATCGCATCAGCTGTTACAAAGAGCAAATTATATATATTTAGTGAACTATTCGTCTCCGTCCTTATTCTGTCCATCGAATTTCCTCGACGGCGGTAATGTCAGCATTTAATCTTACGAGGGCATCAATCAACTGGGCAGCGGCACCCAACTGCGGGTTCAGGCCTTCCAACCATGCACCTGGACATCATACTGTTTCTTAATACGTTTATAGTGTTTGTCATCAAAAGTAAGGTTTCTCAACCGAGGCTTTGTTAAATTTTCCAGCGGAGCTGGTTTCTACGTAACGGGTCCCAAACCCATTGTACAATATCGATGGGCGAAATCAGACGCTGCAATTAGACTACAGCGAACCCTTAAACAGAATATGTAGTAGGGGCATTACTGAAGGTCTTTACTTTTAGCCGGATTGGTTGCTTACGTTTCCAGCGTGCGTGATGTGGACGCAAGAGTAGGAGTGTAACTTCGTACCCAGGAGCACCACATATGTATATGTATACCACACGTATATATTTCTTCGCTTAACTCAGCATATCGCATTCATATATATATTCCAAGTTAAAATAAAAACTTTAGTAATAATTTCAAGCTTTATAATAATTTATTAACATTTACATACATACTCATACGTGGTAAATAAAGATAGTCTATAGTCTTTGCTTTTCATCATTTTGTTTTTGGAACATAGAGTTTTAACTATGATTTTTTATTCATAATTCTATCGTATAGTCTAATCTCCTCAATAACACAATCTTCTTCTGTTTAACTTCAAATTATTTAAGACAGCATAGGAATTTTCAAAGTTTCAAATGTTTTACAATACAAGTATGTGTGGATGTACCTGTGCGTGTGGAAGCCATGCTCTTAACTGTATTCTTTATTAGTTAAAGATGATTATACTGAAATTCTCCAGCCCATAAAATTTCAGTTTCATCTTATCGTGTTTAAAAAAATCCAGATTTTATGTTAAAAAAATTAAATTTCCACCTGTATTTGCTGTCTCTGTTTGTATTTTCTTTTATTATATTTATGTATTATATTTACATTATTATTTGTGATGAAGCCGTTTAGTTATACAATTTTAGGCGTGTACTACATAACACATTCTCAATGTTTACAAGTAGTTACATTTTTATTACATAGATATATACAAATATTTAAGGAAAACTTTAGATTTTTTGCTTGTTCAGTTTGTTATAAAAATTGTTTTGGTATTCCCTGTAAACTCATAGGTCCTTACTTTTCATTCACAACAGATATTTGGTAATTTAGCAGTCTGGTTGGTTTGGTTGGTTGGGGTAGAATTCAAATGTTTGACAACTTAATTAAAGATGTTGCTGGCATCCCGACTAAACCCCTCGGCTGAAATGGGATAATCGATTTCATTGGGTCGCTCAACAGGTCGCTTCAGATGTCCGCCCAACTATAAAAACACATACACAGAAAACAGAACCATTTATTTAGTAGGCAATTTGACATAAACACACGTGTGTATATGTTTGCTTCTCCAGTACACTTCATTTGTGTATGCAGAATTTGCCAAACTTACCAATGACCTCATAAACTTGATAAGTCGATATCTTGGTAATGTTTCAATTTCACCTTCTGCTAATAGTCCGGTCGCATCATTGGGCATAGCTTGTAACAGTTCATTGGGACGTAACTCATCTCTTTCGTTTCTGTATGCATTATTTGCTAGCATCTCATCCGTTAAGGAGCCCAGAGAACGTTTTCCGTGTCCACCGTAGCAGGCATGTCCATAAGCGTTGCAGCCCTCTGTGAAAGAAGAGTCATTGTAAATGAGTTATTAATTGATGCTGAGTTTCAGACACACATTTATGTACACAAACATATTTACATATACTCGTATCGATGAGAATCAAATAGGCAAAATTTTAACTTATTTAACTTTGTCTAGTCGAGCCCATATATTATATATAACTCAGAAAGAAGTTCAAAAATTTAAAAAGCGCAAATAATAAAATAAAATAAAAATAATATAAAAATAAATAAAATGTATTAAATAAATTACATTACAAAAAAAAAAAAATAAAATACCGCAAAACAAAATAAAATAATATAAAATAAAATAAAAAAGGAAAGAAATAAAATGACAGAAAATAAAATAAAATAAAGTAAAATTAAAAGGAACAAATTAAAAAAAGATAATTAAAATATATTATAATAAAATAAATATAACAAAATATACTAAAATAAATAGATTTCCAAAAAAAAGTAAAACAAAATAAGATAAATTAAATAAAACATAAATAAAAAAAATAAATAAAAGTAAAATATAATATAAAATTAAATAAAATGAAAGATAATAAAATAATGTAAACTTAAAAAGAATAAATTAAAAAAAGATAAATAAAATATACTGTAATAAAATAAATATAACAAAATATACTAAAATAAAATAAGTTTACAAAAAAAATATAACAAAATAAAATAAATTAAATAAAACATAAATAAAAAAATAGATAAAAGTAAAATATAATAAAAAAATAAAATGAATGATAATAAAAAAAAGGTAAAATTAAAAAGAATCAATTAAAAAAATATAAATTAAATATACTAAATAAAATAAATATAACAAAATATACTAAAATAAAATAAGTTGAAAGAAAAATAAAAAACATAGCAAAATACAATACCACAACAAAATAAATTAAAATAAAAAATTAATTAAACAAAATAAGATAAAATATAATAAAAAAAATATATAATACAAATAAAAATAAAATAAAGTTAAATAATAATAAAATAAAATAAAATAAAATAAAGAAAATAAAGTAAAATAAAATAAAAGTAGTTAAAATAAGTAAGTAAGTAAAGTGAAAATAATACAATAATAAAACAAATTGAAATTGAATAAAAATAAAAACAACAACAAGAAACAAAAAAAAATACAATGTAAATTTAAATAAAATAAATTGAAATGAAATAAAATAAAGAAAATTAAACAAATATAATATATTAAAATAAAATAAAATAAAATAAAATAAAATAAAATAAAATAAAATAAAATAAAATAAAATAAAATAAAATAAAATAAAATAAAATAAAATAAAAAAAGTTAAAATAAAATAAATAAACGCCCCCTTTACAAAACTTAATTGAACGGTGATCTCGTTATGGAAAGTCGGAAGCCGGATGGAATTGAGCAATTGTATTGCGGTATTGTAGAAGAAAAATAAGTAGGCAATAAGGAGGCTTCAAAATATGATATCTGGATGAGTCCATCAGGCTCTAAGCTATGTATTTGAAAATCTTTATTGTGAAGGTTAAACTGTTGAAATACAAGGCATTTGTTTAACCTTATATTACAATATAATACGCGTTTACAAATACTACCGTTTTCGGGTTGATCTATTATGATATACTCTAATGTATACAAACCAATCCAAAAGTGGTTCCTGGGTAAAAAGCACACATTGCGCATTCCATTTTTCAAGTTATGGCTAATAATCCCAGAGGTACACATATCAAAGGTTTTGAGCTAAAACTACGTTAAAGGGTTTAAGTTACTTGCTGCAATTTAAAATATCATGCATAAGTGGTTATTTATCTTTGATAATGTTTTATGCATACATGCGTACATACACACGTATTGAAGTTAGTGAAAATTTTCGTCTCATCAAAATTATGTTGCCAAGCGTGTAACCATTTTTTTTTAAGGAAATTCGCTGGTGCGGCTATTGTGAATCAGCATAGACACTGTTGTTGTTGTTGTTGTTGTTGTTGTTATTATTATTTTTTATTGAAATTCTTATCAAGGGTTTGTTCTGTACAAGTAATTGAGGTGAGGGTGAATCTAATGTTTTCATCATTTCGATTTTATAAACAAACATATTGGTACATATGTATGTAAATATAAACATACGTATACAAATAAAAATACATACATACGTGTATGTACAACAGTAAGCAGAAATAAGTGTGCATGCTCACTCGAACTATGAATGCGAAAAAGAAAACAAAACAAAAAAATTAAATAACACTGCTGACTCTTATCTCACTGAAAAGCTGCGCTGCCCAAAGGCCACAATAAATAGACCGAAAATAAATATTTTCTTGTATTGAATTTTAAATTGCTATATTTTTAAAATAAATAATTTACATAATAATAGCTTAATTAATTAATTTTAATATTTAATTTTTAATTTAAAAAAATGTACAAAAAGACGAGTATGAAATGAACTGAACGAATCGTTGCGGAGATTGAATGTTCGTTGAACTCAGTTGCTCCAAATATGGAGGTCATAAATTAACAATTGATATTCAATTCCATGAACATTGGCACTGTTTTGTTATTGGACATAAAGCGGATATCGACATTTTCTAGTTCGAAAACAATAGTTGCAAGACATAAGTTATAACGGTGCAACATCGACATTTGCGAGGTGTCAAAGATTTTTCTCGTGCCAGTTGTGTTTATTGGCGTACAATGTTGGGCAAAATGATAGAATTGTGTTGCTTATGAAATGATTTGATTATTTCTCTGTTGTATTTTTTTTTTGGCGATCGCGAAAGGGGAGTGTTTGGCATTACGTCCTCCCATTCGGAATGCCAGAGTTCTGACATGAAGAAAAAACTCTGACAGTCTTAATTATAGCTGCTATAAAACGCAAGAAACTCACATCTCATCAGGTCTTCGTCGAGGATGAAAAGAAGGAATTGGAGGGATTGGATTTGTAGGAAATGAAGTGTGGGACATAATTTTTTATAAATTATTGTTAATGCTGAGTACATGGACTACGACAGGCTCTAAAGCATTCCAAAAAATCGGTCATAACGATGGAAACAAAGCTGTCCATACCATTTTACACGATAAAAAATTACTTCTACTACTGACAATTCATAATCTAAAATATGGGTGAACTGCACCGACGGATAGGTGGTTGTACGAACAATATGTAACACGAAACACGAACAAGGAAGAGGACTCACATCAGGAGATTGCTCCCTAAAGTTTACAGGGGTATGGGGATCAGAGAGGACTCCGAAAAGGATAGTATGCTCTTGGTAAGCTAAGACGGAAAGACTCAGTTTTGGGACGAGTACTTAGCAACAGTCAACCCGCCAAGGTATAGAGGGCACTAACACGCAAAAGGAGAGCTTAAAATGCACCGCTCGACATACAGGCAGCACACTTGGTCAGTACTGAGGTCTCCAATATCTGTAGAGAGGCTAAGCGAAGTGTTCACCTGCTTTTCACTTTGCTTAAAAGTAGCCACCCTTGGAGTGCAGATGAGCACCGTTGGGTGGATGTATTTGGAGAAGATGCTCTGTAACTGCTGCAGGAACAGAACACAAATATACCTATGAATTGGAAGGTACTCCACGTAGCTAAGCTAACGGAAAATTCTTAGAACTAGAGCTCCAGATCAATAAAGAGATGGACCTGCTATGGAAAAATGTGAGAGATATGAAATTGAGAATTATCTTGGTCTGGTTCTGACTGTGCTGAAATAGTCGTTCCACGCAGCGTTGGTCCAGCAGTCACGGCTTGGAGGTAATAGGAGGGTTGCTGGACTGAAGTCAGCAAGCATTAATGTATTATATATTGAGTTAGCAGGTCTAGTGAGAGCCGTGACAAAGGTAAGAAAATTATTATAGTCATATGTGCTGTCTAATGTTAACACCGATGACATGGCGGGCATAGTGCCAAGAAAATAAAGGCTGTCTATACGGTATATATGAGCCTATTATTATTGATGGATTAACGGTTGATGTATACGAGTACTTTTGATGTGCGGTCCGTAAGCTCACTCCGCTTTTAAGCTCCCTGGAGTTACACTCTGGCTTCTATGACTTGCAAGGTTTGACTTTGAGCTCATTTTGAAATGTCCGGCGGATGACCTATTGGAATATATGCAGCTCTTCGCCTAAGTCTGTGTGTTAAAGGACTCTGTTTAATTGCACGCTACTGTAACTGTGCTCCAGAGCTCATTGTAAGCCTTTAAGTAAACTCAAGGTGTTTTGCTTCCTATTTCAGCCCTTTTCAAGTGTCAAATGAATTGCTGAAGATAAGAAATTTGTGTTGCTCACTGAAAAAGTGTTGTTGGCATAATTTTAGATATACGAGTATGCATGTATATATGCATATAATATATATGTATGTGTTTATATGCATTCTAAATTTCCTTTCTCTACTTAGTTGCTGTCGATGTTTCTCTCTGTATATATTACGAATAAATATAAATTTATATACTTTCATCTGCACTTTGTAACTGTATTGCATTTTATAGTTTTGTTTTGCTCACGTTCTTACATGAGCAACAGCTCATGAATACCTGCCCGTGCCTGTCTCTGTGTGACTTTATTGTTTTTTATTTTCCTCTTATCCGCCACTCCTTTGCTCTACTCATAAATACAATAATGTAAAATAAGTAATGTCGCGGCTGTTGCTGCGACTCGATTATCTCTCGAATTGGCGAATCTGCAGGCAATGAACGCCTGCTGAAGGTGGACGACAAACAATATGGAAATAAATTTTTAATATATAACGGGAATTTTACTTATTAAATTGGCTAATTGTGACACAATACACTTGTCTAAGTGAATATGAATATATTTGTTTGTATGAAACATCATTAGGCTGCTGACATTTCAAATTGTTGGTTTTTGGGGTATTGGGTGGTGTACAGTATCACAATAAAGAATGGCAATTAAAATTGGTAGATTTTATTATCTAGTATTTAAGGCTACATATATTTACTACTTACTCTTTGCCTGGCCTTGTTGTGCCGCCAAAACGACCGCACAGATCATCACCAACAGGAAGGATACTGAGGAATTCATCTTCTCTGAAATTGAAAAAAAAAAATTATAATTAAAAAAAATAATAATTAAATTAATATTATATTATGTATGAATATTAATAATGGTTTGAATTTCAACTTAGAATACTAAATAGATTGAACAAAATGTATATGGCAGAAATGTTTTGAGATGGAAACGTAAAGGAAAGGGACAGTCCTACGCAATTCTTCTTTTGAGTTAAGCCATTATTAATACGAAACTGTTCGTTGAGATTGTAAAATTGTTATTGAAAGTCTCATACTAACTCAGAACTCATACAATCATCAATAAAATAATCCTTTATATATAAAGCATAAAATATATCTTCTTCGGTGACCTCAATAGCCGAGTTGTTAACTTGTTGTTGTAGTCTTGTTTCGACCAACATCCAAAATTATAGAAAATTAATTTTGATGATTGTGATCGCCCCCCAAACACAAATTTCAAGCCCCTCTAAAGTCTCAAATATCCATCGGCCATTCAGAGGCGACTTAAAATTAACCGTAGATCCCTTAATTTGTGGGAAAGCATCAAGATGCACACCTTATGTAATATATTTTCTCATTTTAATGTCGTAAACTCCGCTCATTCGATTATAGTCGAGTCGAGCGTCAATCGTTCCATCTCTTCGAGGTTTGCCGCCAATTGATGATGCCAAGCATAGTCAGGCCCTTCTTTACAACGGAGTAGAGGTCTTCCATTTCCAAAACTGGAGTGTTCTCATAAAATACCTATAATATGACCGGGGCAACGTAGCCGCTTACTCTTGATTGACATTGAATGACATATTTCCATTGCCGCCGTACGTATTAAGACTACTTTTCGTATTATTGGATGAGTGCATAAGTTCGTGCCCGATTACGCTGAATGCCGTTCGAATCGTTTGAGAGTGGCGCTCGTGAAAGAAATATATACATATTATGTGTCGTTGGAAAGGTGACAGTCCGAACTGTAAATCAAGTACCTTTTTCAACGAGAAATCGCGCGATTTCTATGAATCAGGCATCCGTAAATTGGTTGAACGTTGGGAGTGGATTGCCGAACATGATGGCGAATACATAATTGATTAATAAAAGCGCTTTCTTCAAAAAATTTAAATTTTAGTTTGCACTTGAAATCGGGCACGAACTTATGCACTCATTCAATATTATATATGACACTTTTCAAGTGGGCGGTTTTAGTGCTCCATGATGGGATCGCAAATTAAAAAATAAAAATTTACGCCACTTTAAAATGTTGTATGTTTTGCATGTTAATGGCATCTCAGATAGAACAAAATCTTGTTGACTAATATTTTAAATTCGAAATAGTCTTTAAATGCTTTCCTTAAATATTTGTTGCAATTGTACATACAAACGAACATATCCTTGCTTATACATCATGCCTAACAGTGTTTAACGCTATTTGTAATATATTCGAGTTAAATCCAAAAAATAGTTGTAATCCATTTATTATAGGGGCATACCTTCAAACGTATGTAAATATGTATTTATGTATGTACTGCTTATTTTTAGGCATCAATAGGTTAACCAAAACCATTCAAAATGTTATGAACAACAAAGTTTGCAGAAAATTCTTAAGATGTAAGACGTGAGATGAATATAAGACCAGCGCACAGTGGGATGGCAATCGAAAGATATCACGTATCGACTAATATCAAAGTTGGGCAAAACTAGTTAATATTATTTTTTATTCATAAGACCTGTTTTTGAATGCTCCACATCATATCATCTAATTAATAGCGGTACAGGTATACCAGCGTAATATGGTTTAATACGGGAGAAACTTTCCCGCCGCGTAGTCCCTTGTCTTGGCGATGTCAATTGACCAACTATATCGTGCGATTTGACAACGTTGGACTTTTTTGTGGGGCTGCCCATATAAATCTCTAACTCTTGAGCACTTGAAAACCAACCATTGTTGTTGTTATTATAAAGATCGCCCAAAAAGTGAGAGGGACGTATTTTTCTTTCAATTTATTGTCAAATATTTAAAAAAATTTTAAGCAAATAAAATCAAATACCTTAGAATTTAGAAAAAAATCTATTTTCTATTACTTGTTTGTAAAAACAATATATGATAAAAATCGTGAGTTTGAATATATATAAAAAATAAACAATTATCTACAAGATTATTCATTTTGCGGTTTCGAAAATAAACTTTATTAATCGAGTGATATAAGAATTTGGAGAAAGTTAAACTATTAAAGGTAATTGGAAAATTAATATCGAGGTTACACATCCATAAAACGTAATGCCGAGAGACCGAACTGGTAATTTGTAGGATTAACTTGTGTAACCTCGATGTTCAAAAAGCCGGGAAAAAAATTAAAAAATACCAACGAAAACGATATGTTCAAAACATATTAAAAAATAAATTTTTAGGATGATAAACAAAATGGATGGCAACATTGCTTGGTTTTCTCTGAAATGAAAAATGTTTTTCAAATTACTGGTATAGATGAGGGTTGAAAAGAAAAATTTAGGAACTTGTAGCAAGTTTTATGTTGAGGGGTAGGAATAAAATGTTTTAAAAAAACGACGGACTTCCCAGCAGTAGATGTACATCTATAGCCGCGAGCAATGAACAAACGAAATGAAACAAAGGACATGCTCAAATCTTAAAATTCTTTGTACTATGTATGTACAATTAGTGAATGAGATGTCGTCCCACCCCATTCAAAATATGATCAGATAAGATTTTTTAAGTTTCTTATTCTTGAAAATTTTGTAATTTAAATGTTTCTTTTTTAATACCGTTAAATGGTGGATGGAAATTTATGCACTTATGTTTCTGCCTGTGGTTTAAATTTGAGCCCTATGTGTATATTTTTAATATTTATGGTCGTTTTTGAATTAAACGTTACCACTATGCAACGCCGATATGAATTAATCCACATGTATGTATTGTATTTGCTCTTGTGTACTTATATGCGTTTGATTGCTGGGGAATTGCTTCAGTGACCTTTCCTTAAAATTTGACTATGCTAAAGGATAATCTGCATGACAATACTTCTTCAAGGATATTTTTCTTAGATTGGCTGATGGGTTTTTAAGAGAAGCTTTGATTTAGTGTCAGAAATACACTGGGAGCACTTGACATTCCCTGCCGAGGGGCGACCACTATTGGAAAAATTCAATTTCTACAATTTTAGCCAGTCGTCAAGCCTGGTCTTCTAAATGCCAGAGCGCAATGCCAACCAACAACTTATAACTTTATTAAATACATTTTCAAATTCCTTGCTGGCGAAGTACCGTGTAAACTTTAGTTTTTAAGTAAGTTATTGATATTTATTTAAATTAAATTATCTAATTCTCTACTCTATTAAGACAAATGAACATAAGTATTTAATTTATTTAAGTAAATTTACTCGTTAGCATCCAAACATCTATGCAATGGCGCACAGTGATTCCACATAGTTGCATATGCATCAGCAATTTTTTATACTTTAAACGATGTTTAACGATGAAAGCATGTACACGTATGTATGTACATATATTTGATACAATTCCATGCTTGGGGTGCGTGCGTTTATTTTTGTTTATTAAATTTATTTATGTTCAAATCTCCTTATCAGCAATTATTAGTGTGCTATATTCATACGTACATACAAACATATATAGCATGCATGTACAAGTATTTTAAACACAAGTATATACGTGTGTAGATTTATGCGATTTTTTTTTACTAGTATTATATTATATTATTACTATAAACTTTATTGACTAAACTGGCATAAGTGATTTTATTGTGTCAATCAATTCAGAATAATTGGAGTAAGACATTTCACTTAACATACTTAACTGCATAAGCATAATCATATTAGAGTACGAGTACATACATATATGTAAACTCGTGCATATGGGAAAAGTCAAGACATCTGGTTTATGCGCCGGTTGATATGCAGATATATATATGTATGTATGTGACAAATATTTAGATATGTTATAGAAAAGAGCAGTGCAAGTTAAGATTAATAAAACAAGAAACTTCCTGAGCAGGTTTTTTAATTTCGCTGGAATAAATTTAAAAAAAATAATTTGAATAAAAACAATCAGATTATACCGAAAATTAAATTTTGTCCAGCGAGTGTAAGCGTGTAACTAGTTAAATAAAAATTAATTAATAATCAAACTCACCTTTGAAATTGATTATTAAATGCTTCGTAATATTATATTTATTACCAAACAAGCTTTCGATCACCACGTGTCAAGCTTTAAATGCAATCTAAGTGTTTCTTAATCTTTTCTAATTCTATATATTTATAAAAAAAAAGTCCTTGTTTTGTAAAGTAGGTACACAATAATCACAGATAATATTTGTTTTTGTTACACAGTTTTTCAATCGAGGCTTTTTTGATATTTTCTTGATTTTTTAATAGATTTTTTATTTTTATTTCTACCTTCACTTTTCAGTTCTATTGATGTTTTTAAAAGCCTGTTTGTTAAGAGTTCCTTCTATTCAGTGTAAGTTTTGCACTATTATCATATTTACTGCATAAAATTATAAATAAATTATACACCGATGTTTCGCGTTAATCTATGATCGAGCGCTTCAACTTTTCCAGCTGTATGACTTACATCTTCAAAAACTGCCGATGAAGTGTCAGTCAAGTCAGTATTGAGTTTGGGCTTAAGTGAACGCTTATCTGTATAATCTATATAAATTTATATTAAAAAATGTGTACCTATGCATGTCAGTTTATGGAGCAAAATAATCGGTTTTAAAGATTTCAGGGGAATGCTACATATCGGCTAAAATAAGTTTGGGAATTCTTAAACTGTAATAATAAAAAAAATTAATATATAAAATAAAATAAAATAAAATAGAATAAAATAAAATAAAATAAAATAAAATGAACTAAAATAAAATAAAATGAAATAAAATAAAATAAAATAAAATAAAATAAAATAAAATAAAATAAAATAAAATAAAATAAAATAAAATAAAATAAAATAAAATGAAATATTACAAAATGAAATATATTAAGATTAAATAAAATTAAAAAAAAATAAGTTAAAATAAAAAAATTAAAATGAAATAAATTAAAATAAAAAAAAAATTAGTTAAAATAAAAAAAAAATGAAATGAAATAAAAACGTAGTAAAATAAATTTAAACTATAAAAAAAATGAAATTCAATAATGAAGTAGAAGAAAATTAGAGCTTGCTTAAATTTTTAATAATACGTTTATATTTTTCTCTGATCAATGGACTGACTGGTTAAGGCGTAGCGCGCCCAATTGAAGCAACAACAATTAATATGAAATAATAATCATCAGTACGCATATACATACGAACATATATACATATGTACATTTCTAGCCGAGGTTTCCCCAATGGGCTGGCATTTACTGCTCCAAGTCGCTTCCTATTGGCTGAATAATTTATTTTTATATAAAATAAATCCTCAACATACATACATATTAATATGTGAAAAAAAAGCATTCCTGTATGCATGCATACATACATATGCATACATACATGCATACACAAAAGAAGTGTAAAAATTTATAAAAATAATTTATTTTTAAAAATACCCCCATGCATACATATACACATGTACATAAATGCATACAATTAATTCGCTCGAGTGCATGTGAACCATAATATTATTCAGATGCATATATTAAATATTAAATAATAAATAATAAAAATATAATTTTCAACTCGAAATTGTACTGTTTATTTTAAATTGTCACACGCCGCCGAGTTTTCATTTCTTCCGTGGAACGTTGTTTTTCACATGACAAATGCCTTCAGTGCCTGCTATAAAATACATTGGCCTCAAAGGCGCGATCAACAACTAATAATATAACTGTTACCATAGGAATAGCAAAGGTTCCCAGCAAATGTCCCGGCAAATCCCTGTCTTGTTTACTGACTGCAATCATGCAGAAAAAGAGAAGAAATAAATAGTTGCACTCTTTACCAATGAACTCTACGGTGGGCTTGCGTGAATGATCAGACATTTAAATGAATAATGAGAGGATGAGCGCTTTTAATAAATATACTAAAAAATAAACATATGCATTCACATAAACATTAATCGGCTATATGTGGAATAATCCATAAATAACCACTTGGCTGGCTATTTTTAGTACTGCAGACTTGTTATTAAAATTTTTCTCTACTGATAAACAGTGTTATTGCTGCATTACTTGCAGACTAGGTGAACCATCAAAAGTAAAATAAAAATTTATTATGGAAATATTTATATACTTTTGTATATTCTACATAGATATTGCCATTTATACTAGTTTTCGGTAGATTTTCCTCCATTACCATGTCCGAATATTTCTTTTGTACATACATACATATGCGCATATTATATATAAAAAAATTGTGCCAACTTATTTATAAATAAACACATATTTACGCATTGCAGATGTCTGCTAAGCATGTATATAAATATTTTTATGATACACAATCACTTTTGCTAGTAAAGTAGCAATAAACTTGAGGCCACAGTGTTTATCATGTCAAATCATGTTATTAATTTCCTATTTCGGGATTACTTAAATTGAACAATATTAATAAATAATAATTTATGAGGTTATATATGAATTAAGAATGATAACCAAAAGTTGGTTTTTGTGTTTACATGCAGATGCATGTAAACTCTTTTTTTTATAAAAAAAGTTGTACATTTTTTCAGATTGATTTATTTACCATTATTTGATTGGCCAAATCATATGAAATATGCATATCATAACGATAGATATTAGAGGTATCAGTGATAATATTAGTTATAATTGTATTACAATAGAATGCAAAATGTCACTCATCCGACATGTATTCCAAAAATGTTGCTAGCAGCAACCTACGAAATAATAATATTTTTCTTTTTGGAACACTAAAATACTATTTATATGCTAGCGCAATTGGCAAAACATTAAATTTGGTTTCAGGTTTGCTAATTTCTTAATATGTAGTGATTATTGCAAGGGCTTAAATATGGAGTACGAGGTGAGACAATTAAGTAATGAGACTGATTATATTGCCGCGACTGTGGTAACCTTGCTTCCCCTTCCCTTTCGCTCTGCATCCTTCTCCTATCCATTGATATATTTGCTATCGCTCTAGCTTGTTTAGTTCGCCTGCTGTGTCGAGTTGAGTAAACGTGTGTTTGTGGTGCTCGTCATGAAAATGGATAAACGAAATCCAGAGCAACGCGTCGTGATAAAATTTTGCACCAAATTGCGTGAAACAGCTTCCGAAACGTATGCTAAAATTGTAAAAGGGAACGGTGATAGTGCTCTTAGTCGCTCACAATGCTTGTCTCCCCTTCATCCTAAAAAATCTTGCATGAGCAAGTCGGAGGTGAAAAAGATGATTATTGCTTTTTTTGTTAGCCATGGATCGTCCACAAAGAATTTCTTCCATCGATGCAAACCGTTAATCAGATCTACTATCGCCAAGTACTCCACAGAGTCAACAGCGTGCGCCCAGACATCGCTCGTAACTAGATCCTTCATCACGACAACTGGCTGTACCAAACTGCCCTCAGCTTGTTCCAGTATTTGGCCCCTAAAGGGATCGCCGTGTTGCAGCAACCGCCTTATTCGCCCGTTATCAAAATGGTCAAGGGAACCCATTTTGAGTCGATTGAGACATCCAGGCGGCCGTGACGTACGCGTATGAAATCAGTCTCATTATTTAATTGTCACCTCGTAGATGTGAACGTGATATTGAATTTAAACAAGTAATAGATGGAGCAAAATATGGTGTTTTTGTATTATTTTCTTTTCCAATGCAATAGAGTTCTTTACTTCCTGTACCTCTAACCAAAAATCCTATAAAATATATTTTTCATTTTACAAGTTTCCAATTGGAGTTAGATCCGTACTATGAGCTAGCCACTTAGGATATTTGAGCTGTTCTTGTTTTTTCCCCGTGTTCTGGCTGCTTTGCCTATACGCCCAATAAGCCAATGGTTTCAAATGATTTTTCTGTTTTATCTGAAGCAACTTTCACCTAAACGTGAATAATTTAGGAGCATAAAAATAAGAATACGAACAATTTTCTGAAAACCCTTTAAGGGTTTTGTAAATAGAGGAGGTATTTTTGGATAATATTAGACAGTGCAGGACATATAGTAAATAAGCTGACTTAATATGGAGTCTTTTCAGAATGGAAGGCAACTATGAACTTTCGGTATCACTCAGAAAGAAGGACGAGAAACGGGGACATGCATTCAAATCGGCTTTGGTTGAGGACAATAAATACAGGAATTTCTTGATGAGAAAAAGCGGTTGGACCTTCAATCATCAATAGACAAAGGGTCAAAATGCCTACATCAGTTGGTTTAAAGCGCATAACTGTCCTTAACTCGAGCCAGCGCTTTGGTCGTATGTAATATGTGTGGTAACATTATGTGAGATTTGCTAAGGAGCCCATAATAAAGGGTGCTTTTTTAGATGTTACTTTAGTTAGTGAACAGACTTGTTCCGAAACAAATCACAAGTCTTGCAAATTGATTACTAAAATAATGTTCCGGTTTGGTCGACATAATCGCCAAGCAGCGTTGGTATTTCACGTTTACTCTAGTACGACCATTAAGTGTATCGAACTTACATCTTTAAGCGACTTATGACAAATTGATAAATAATCCCCAACACCAGTTAACTCTCTGTTTCATGTGTTATATGGGCAGAGGGAACCATTGGTCTATATTTCTTCAAAAATTATGTCTTCCATAATGTCACAGCCCATGGGGAACTACAGAGCCATGATTAATAACTTTTTCGTACCTGAATTAAAGAATTTTAATGTGATCGATCTTCGGTTCCAACGACACGCCAACGTAACAGACAATTTATTGAGGGAAACCTTTAGTGAGCACATTATCTCACGTCATCGACCTGTGTTGTGGCCTCCAAGATCGCGCGATTAACCATCGCCGAATTACTTTTATCTTATATCTTTCTTTATAATAAAGCCAAATTCTTGGTCGTAACATTTAACTAACTGCAGTTTATTTCTTCATGAAAACCACATGTTTAAAAACAAAACATATGCATAAAAACATGTTATGGATGTTTTGAGACCACCTGGACTGTTATTGGCAGTAATTGTTTTGAGCAGACTTTGGCACAAAAATAAGTTCTTATATAGTAGGTAGATACATATACGAGGTGTAACAATTAAGTAATGAGAATGATTCCATAAATACCCTATATTTCAAAATTGTTCTACAACCCTTCAAATTAGTCTCCTTGGGCAGCTATACAACGATTCCAGCGCGTTTTATGTGCTTGGTAACATTTCTGGAACCCTTCGACTACGATGTCTGCGAGTAGCCTCGTCACGGCCGCCTGGATTTCCACAATCGACTCACCGATTTGATCACCGATTTTATTCTAGGGACCAAAAACAAGTCACAGGGTAACATATTGGGCGAATAAGGCGATTGTTTCAACACGGTGATCTCTTTAGAGGCCAAATACTGAGACACGCTAAGGGCGGCGTGGCACGGCGAGCTGTCGTAATGAAGGATCCAGTTACGAGCGATGTCTGGGCGCACCCTGTTGACTTTTTCGAGTACTTTGCGATAGTAGACTTGATTTACGGTTTGCCTCGATGGAAGAAATTCTTTGTGGACGATCCATGGC